AATCATACCTAATCTGGTAAGTTCATTTCCTTGAGACATGATTATTTTTCTGTCTTGTAAGATTTATGAGGAATATTTGGCTCAGAAAAGCAACAAATTAGGAGGAACATGGGAATTGTCTTCAAACAACTGAAGTATGGTCGTGCTGGAAAAGATTTGATTCTTTTTGAATAATACCAGAAGATTGAACCTATGTGTTGAATTTATAGTAAAACAAATTTTAGTTCAGTTTAAGGAAGAACTCTCCTAATAGTCAAATCTGCTTAGAGAGGGAATTGGCTGCCTAGGAAGGGAGTGCAGTGGTCCCTCTTGAAGTTTTAATATATGAGTTGGATGACCTGGGTGTGTATGGTAAATTCAGATGTGAGGTAGATTTTCATATTAGGTGGGCTATTATAAGGACCTATCCCACTCTTAATTATTTGCTAGGAAAAATGGGTGACAGAAAGAAACCAGATGATTAATACAGGGTAAGAAAGGAGACTTAACAGTTAATAGGGGATAAGCAAGGGGGAAATTGAGGGTTCAGAATGTCTCTCCCAACCATTAGAACCCTAGAAAGTTCACGTTTTCTCTGCCAGAGACATTGAAGAAATTGTTGGCTCTGGTTTCGTAAGAGGTTGTTCTGTAGAACTTGAGGAATTTTTGGCATTTTCACAGAGACTGAACAGTTCTGCTTCAGTAGTGAGCCTCTGCCTGGAGTCATCAAGTGCTGCTAAATCAGAAGTGTCCAGGTTGTGGGCTTTAGGTGGGAGCAACAGTGTCTGTCAGTTGATTTCATTTCTTCCTAGTAATTTTCACAATTCTGTTTTATTATTGTTACATTAAACCTCAGCAACAGTAGTATTCAGGCTGAGACTATTCTCTTATTCTGAACGTTTGGGTTTGTTATTTCAGCTTCCATTTCTAGCTTTACTAAATAAAAATGTTGCATGAATATTCTCAGCACTGGAATTGAAAGTAGGAAGAAAGCTGAAATTGACATGTCTGTTTTCAAACAAGATTTAGTGGTTTCTGGGGAGGAGTATGGTGAAGTTGGTAAGAGTATGAATTTTTGATGTCAGGGCTGGATTTGGCTCTTGGCTGTACCATTCACCACCTGTATCACCTTAGACAATCTAACTTCTCTGGATCTCAATTTCATCTGTAAACAGATAATACTTCTCATAGGGTCACTGAGCATGTAAATGAGATAAAATCCATAAAATGTATACAGTACATGGTAAGAGCTCATTAACGGTTAGCTGCTTTATTTTTGTGGTAGTGTGGAAATTTACTGTTTTTGTTGTCAGTCATCCTGGAATGGTCATTGTATTGAATATGTGCCTCCTTGTTAGTGCATAGTGCTATGAATAACACATAACATGTCTGCCTAGTGGGTTAATTCTGCAGTTGCTCAAAAGGAAAGAAACCAATAAAGAAAAGAACACACTGGCTCACACTTGCAATCCCAGCACTTTGGGAGGCTGAGGCAGGCAGATCATGGGGTCAGGAGTTCAAGAGCAGCCTGGCCAACATAGTGAAACCTTGCCTCTACTAAAAATACAAAAATTAGCCAGGCATGGTAGCACGGACCTGTAGTCTCAGCTGCTTAGGAGGCTGAAACAGGAGAACCACTTCAACACACAAGGTGGAGGTTGCAATAAGCTGAGATCTTGCCACTGCATTCCAGCTTGGGCAATAGAGCCAGACTTCATCTCAAAAAAAAGGGGGGGGGGGGAGGAATAATATACACTCTTGTATCTTTATTTCCTTCTCTCCTTTTTGAAGAAAAAGGTAGAAATAACAGATTTGAGAGTATTTTGTGTCAAAATATGCATAAAGTGGTTTAGATGATTGTGGGAGTGAGAAAAGAGGATTGGTTAGAATCTTAAATGACACAGACAAGGGTTTAAAGGGAGGAAGGTCCCAAGAGATATAAATGAAGAGTCAGCTTAGTATTCAGGAAAGTACATGGAACTGAAGTTGGGATATTGGTTCTTCCAGTTACACTTTCTCGATTCATGGTTTTGCACTTTCCCTGCTATACAGACTGGAGTTGATCACTAAGTCTTCAGTAGCTGAGATTCTCCATCTTAATCTACTTGGAGGCAAGAGCAGGTGAATCAAGATAGTATAATGGGAACGATCCAAGATGGTTGATTGCTAACATCTCAGGATTGCAGCTCCCAATGAAAGCACAGAGAACAAGAGGATGCCACACTTTCAGACAAATTTTAGTCACTCACGGAGCAGAAGATTCCCAGTGGAGGAGCGCATGGGTCATCCGCGCAACTCTTGTGGCCGGCGCAGCGGTTTTGCCGGCACCTCGGCGCGGCAGCTCTTAGTGCAGAGTAAATGGGACTGGTTCCCCCTCTGACCAAGGTTTGGAGCTCCGGGAAGGCAGAGTAGCCTATTACGGACTCAAGAAGGAAGCCAGACTGGAGATTCCCAGGCAGAAAAGCACCATCAGTCTTAACACCACTGTTTTGGCCAGCGCAGTGGGTTGCTCATATTTCGGCCCTGGGAATTAACAACTTGGATGTTCACTCAGAGACCTAATTTGAAAGTTGGTAATTACAAAGATGACAGGTGGACAAATTTACAATGATGGGAAGAAACCAGCATAAAAAGCCTGAGAATACTCAAAATCAGAATGCCTCTCCCTCTACAGAGGATCACAGTTCCTCATCAACAAGGGAACAAGGCTTGATGGAGAACGAGCGTATCCCATTAACAGAATCAGGCTTCAGAAGATGGATAATAAGAAACGTCTGTGAGTTATAAGAACATGTTGTAGCCCAATGTAAAGAAACTAAGAACTTTGAAAAAAGGTTAGATGAAATCCTAATGAGAATAGACAACTTAGAGAGGAATATACGTGAATTAATGGAACTGAAGAATACAATACAGGAACTCCGAGAAGTATGCACAGGTTTAAACACTCAAATTGTTCAAGCAGAAGAAAGGATAGCAGAGGTCAAAGTCCAACTTAATGAAATAAAATGAGAAGACAAGATTAGAGAAAAAAGGATAAAAAGGAATGAGCAAAGTCTCCAAGAAATGTGGGACTATGTGAAAAGACCAAATTTACGTTTGATAGGTGTACCTGAATGCGACAGAGAATGAATCCAAGCTGGAAAATATTCTTCAGGATATTATTTAGGAAAATTTTCCTAACCTAGCAAAGCAGGACAATATTCAACCCTAGGTAATAAAGAGAATACCACAAAGATATTCCTCAAGAAGAGCAACCCAAAGCACATAATCGTTAGATTCACCAGGGTTGAAACGAAGGAGAAAATACTAAGGGAAGCCAGAGAGAAAGGACAGGTTACCCACAAAGGGAAGCCTATCAGACTCACAGCAGATCTCTCAGCAGAAACCCTACAAGCCAGAAGAGAGTGGGGGCCGATATTCAACATCCTTAAAGAACAGAACTTGCAGCCCAGAATTTCATATCCAGCCAAGCTAAGCTTCACAACTGAAGGAAAAATAAAATCTTTTATCAACAAACAAGTACTCAGAGATTTTATTACCACCAGGCCTGCTTTACAAGAGCTTCTGAAAGAAGCATTACACATAGAGAGAAACAACCAGTATCAGCCTTTCTAAAAATATACCAAAAAGTAAAGAGCATCAACATAAAGAAGAATTTACATCAACGAATGGATAAGACAGCCAGTTAACATCAAATGGCAGTAATCCTAAATTTAAATCGACTAAATCCCCCAATCAAAAGATACAGCCAAAACCCAACGGTATGCTACATCTAGATCCACTTCACATGCAAGGATACACAAAGACTCAAAACAAAGGGATGGAGAAAGATTTACCAACCAAATGGAGAGCAAAAATAAATAAATAAATAAAAAGCAGGAGTTGCAATTCTTGTAGCTGATAAAATAGATTTTAAAGCAACAAAGATATAGTGGTAAAAGGATAAATGCAACAATAAGAGCTAACGATACTAACACCCAGACACATAGAGACTTAGACTCTATGAGACAGAAAATTAATAAGGATATCAAGGACTCGAACTCAGATCCGGAACAAGTAAACTCAATAAATATTTATAGAGCTTTCCACTTTAAATACACAAAATATACATTCTTGTCAATACCACATCACACCTACTCATAGATACAGCCAAAACCCAACGGTATGCTACATCTAGATCCACTTCACATGCAAGGATACACAACGACTCAAAACAAAGGGATGGAGAAAGATTTACCAACCAAATGGAGAGCAAAAATAAATAAATAAAACTACTCATAGGTTTAAATGAAATATTGATTGGCCATTATTAATACCCATTTTTTTTAGAATAAAGCAACATTTCCATTCTCTCTCCCTCCTTTTCTTCCTCTTTCTTCCTCTCCTTCACTCCTTTTTTTCTTTCCTTCTCTCAAAAAAAGAAAAAAAGAAATCAACTTGTAGACCTCTAGATCCAGGTCGGCAATGTCTCTCTCATTGCCTGATTTCCTTCCTTCCCTTCTCTCCCTCCCTCCCTCCCTCTCTCCCTTCCTTCCTCTCTTCCTCCTTTCCTCCCTTCCTAAGAAAAGTAAAAATAAAAAAATAAAAAGATAGTATAATGTCCCAGAAACAGCAATTTCAAGACGAAACAATGTCAGATGTTACAGAAATAATGGAGGATGAGAGCTGGGAAAAGGATAGGATGCCTAAGAGGCCAATTTGCCTAGATTAGAGGGACAGAGAAATATCTGCAATGTAAGAGTTACTGTGGAACACCAGGTAATAAGAATTATTCCAGGTCCTCTTGCTGTGTAGATAACATTGATGTTAATAAAAAGTCCCTGATGTGTTGGGAAAAATGTATTCACGTGCTTTCATCAGTGGCCTATAAATTACTATTTGAGAATTTTTTTCAATTCAAAGTGGGAAGATAATTTTTAGTTTGTTGCTGGGTGAGACAGAGCTAAATCTCCTTGTTTCTCTTTAGAATTTTAATTGCAGTTCTCACTTGAAATGATTTTTTTGTTGTTTCTGTTTTATAGATTGGTTGTTCCATTATGGATGGAGGAGATGATGGTAACCTTGTTATCAAAAAGAGGTTTGTGTCTGAGGCAGAACTAGATGAACGGCGCAAAAGGAGACAAGAAGAATGGGAGAAGGTTCGAAAACCTGAGGATCCGAAAGGTATACGGTGACATTCGTATAATGGCCTTTAATCCACATAGCAGCCCTGTAGAGTAGGTATTAATTGTCCTCACTATATTTTATTTACTTTTTTGAGATGGAGTCTCACTCTGTTGTCCAGGCTGGAGTGCAGTGGCATGATCTTGGCTCACTGCAACCTACACCTCCCGGGCTCAAGAGATTTTCCTGCCTCAGCCTTCCAAGTAGTTGGGATTACAGGCGCCTGCTACCACGCCTGGCTAATTTTTGTATTTTTAGTAGAGACAGAGTTTCATTATGTTGGCCAGGCTGGTCTCGAACTCCTGAGCTCAAACCATCCTCCCGCCTTAGCCTCGCAAAGTGCTAGGATTACAGGCATGAGCCACCACGCCTAGCCAATTGTCCTCACTTTAGAGTTGAGGAACTGAGACTTGGAGGGTTGAAGTCACCTATGTGAGGTCCTGCACAGCTGGGAGCAGAGCCAGGTACTCACATCGTGTCCCTTTTCTGCCTACCACACTGCCTTCCAAGAGGTTCTGCTCCTCTCCTCCGTCTATACATGTGGATCCATGGTCTGAACAACTGAGAACACTGCTGCTGTGGAGGGTTTGGGCTGGCCCCTCAATCAGTTGACTGTCTCAGGCCATGGGTGCTGTCGACATTGAGAATTGGCTTTGAGAACTGTTGGCCCCTCTCTTAGGTCCAAAGGGAAACTGGACTTTGTACTATTTTTGTGTTATCCTCATCCTCAGATCATGCAGAGACTTGACTTTGTCTTTAAAACCTTTTGTGATTCCAAAATAATATGAAAACAATCTAAAGTATATATCTCCCTCCCCTCCACCTCTCTCCCCTCTCCTTTTCCTTTCAGAATGTCCAGAGGAGGTTTATGACCCTCGATCTCTATATGAAAGGCTACAGGAACAGAAGGACAGGAAGCAGCAGGAATATGAAGAACAGTTCAAATTCAGTAAGTTTCAGAAAACACAGAGTTCAAGGGGCTCTGCGGGATATTTTTGACACACTTTTGCCTCATGCAGCACTTTTCCTAACTAGGCATGGAATTGTCTTGATTTTCAAATCTCCTGATGCTCATTTGGTGGAAAAGAGACAACCTTCAGCCTTCTAGGCCACATTGAATATTTTTGTTTAGAGCTCAAAACACCCATTTTAATTCTATGGTAATATTTTATAATGGGAAAAATGCCTTGTTTTTAATGCCCTGTTATCTATTCAAACGCCATAGTATTTACCAGTTTTTTTTTTTAATCCCCTGAAGAATCTGCTGTTTATTAAAAAGGTGGAAAGGAAAAATCTTATTTTTTTAAATAATTAAACAGTTGTTCCTTGTTTAATTATTTCCTCAGAAAACATGGTAAGAGGCTTAGATGAAGATGAGACCAACTTCCTTGATGAGGTTTCTCGACAGCAGGAACTAATAGAAAAGCAACGAAGAGAAGAAGAACTGACAGAACTGAAGGAATACAGAATATCCTTTGTACTTGGAGGAAAACCTGTAAGGTGTGCATTTTCTCATCAGCATCTATGGATGTTGTCTCCCCATCAACAGAAAGAGGGTTTTCTACCTGGTGATCTCTCAAGTCTCTTTCAGCACTGATATTCCTGTAATTCTGAAAAGCTGGCAGTGTTTTTGGAGTTTGTATTGTGTGCAAGAGTGTTGTAGTCAAAAGTCTACATCTTTGAGGGTTAACTCAAGGCATCAATCCTAATAGTCAGTACTGGGGTATTCTTGCCTTGTGGGATTAGACTCTGAGACAAGTGGGCAGTGCAGTCAGCCTCTTCCAGGGGAGAAATTGGCTTCTGAGTTTTAAAAGAGCATGTTACCAACTTTCCTATATTCTTAGTAGATGTTCTCTACTGGTATAGCATGCTGTGTTCCCATAGCAGGGCTGAGAAAGTAGCAAAGATGACTTTGCTCTGGCTCAATATTGCCTTTTGGTCATCCACTTGAATGTCTTAATAGACATCCCAAATGTAACTTTGCTGAATCAGAATTCTCCGTTCTGTACCACATCACTCCCACTCTCAGCACACTGCCCTTCCCCACAGTCTCCTCTTTTTCTGGTCTTTCCAGTCCTAGTAACTGGTGGTTCTATGCCTCTAGGTTTCTGGGCCAAGAACTGCTGCCAAAACGTACTCCAAATCTCTTCAATTCTTGGCATCTACGTCTACTGTAGTAGTTGTAGACTTTCTTCTGGACTCCTTGACCATCTAATTGGTTTCTGTTTCTGCTCTCATCCTCAATAATGTATTCCTTAGACAGGAAAGGGAACTCTAAAAGCATACATGGCATCATGTCACTTTTCTATTTGAAACACCTTAGTGGCTTCCCCTTACATTTAGACTAAAGTCTTACTCTGTGTCAGGCCCTACAAGGCTCTGCATTATTTAGGCCAACCCACCTCCCTCTTGCATCTTGAAGCCACTCTTCCTCATGCTGACTGTACTCCAGCCTGCTGGATTTCTTCATGTTCTCTCTCACCATGCTTTGTGAGTCCATCTCAAGGCCTCAGACTTGCTGTTTCCTCAGCCTGAAATGTTCTGCCCTCAGATTTTGCAAGACACATTTCACAACTCAGCCTTCTGCTCAGCTCTTGCTTTTAGAGACCTTTCCTAACAGTTCTCCCTTTTAGAGACCTTTTCTAAGCACTCCAGCTGAAATTACTGTTGGCAATATCTTTTTTTGGGGTTTTTTTTTTTTTTTTTTTTTTGAGATGGAGTTTCATTCTTGTTATCCATTCTGGAGTGCAGTGGCACGATCTCGGCTCACCGCAACCTCTGTCTCCCAGGTTCAGGAAGTTTTGTCTCAGCTTCCTGAGTAGCTGGGATGATAGGCACATGCCACCATGCCCAGCTAATTTTTGTATTTTTAGTAGAAATGGGGTTTCATCATATTAGTCAGACTGGTCTCTAACTCCTGACCTCAGGTGGTCCTCTCACGTCAGTCTCCCAAAGTGCTGGGATTAAAGGCGTGAGCCACTGCACCCGGCCAATCACTTTTTATTAAAGAAAAATGAGTATTAGCATTATCTGTTTCCATGATGACCCTAAAAACATTAAATTCATGAAACTCATAACAGTTCTGAGCATTATATCTAATTTCCATTGTATACTGCAAATATTTAAGGTAACTTGTGTCCATAAGAATAGAGTTAGTTGCCAGAGAGTGATTAGAATTAGAATTTTATGATTTCTGGAACTCAGCTTTCTCCATTTTTCAAAGACACATAGACAAATAGCCTTAACCATACATCCTCTACTTCCACCCACCCCTTTGGGCCAATAATTCATGCTTCTTAGATTTCTTGGGCACTAGATGTCACTATTGTTCCAGGCACTACTGCATCTTAAATAAGGACTTGCACCATGTTAGAATACTTGTCTGTTGTCTAAGAAGTCGTGAGAAAGATAAAACGGAGGGAGAGGTGGAGGGAAAGAAGGGAGGGCTCTTGGAGGGAACCAGTGAAAGTGACCTCCTATCAAAAGTTTGGGGCCTTTCTTCACTTCAAAAGAATAAAAGTTGAGAGCCAGATATTGGCATTAAGAATGAAAAACTGGGGGGAACAATCCAAGATGGCTGATCACTAACATCTTGGGATTGCAGCTCTCAGCGAAAGCGCAGAGAATGAGAGGGCGCCACACTTTCAGACAAATTTTTGTCACTCACGGAGCAGAAGATTCCCAGTGGAGGAGTCGCATGGGTGGCCAGCACAACTCTTGTGGCGGGCGCAGCGGTTTTGCCGGCACCTTGGTGTGGCAGCTCTTGATGCAGAGTAAATGGGACTGGTTCCCCTTCTGACCGAGGTTTGGAGGAGATGTATGGGTCGCCAGCGCGACTCTTGTGGCAGGCACAGTGGTTTTGCTGGCACCTCGGCGCGGCAGCTCTTGGTGCAGAGTAAATGGGACTGGTTCCCCTTCTAACCAAGGTTTGGAGCTCCCGGAAGGCAGAGTCACCTATTACGGACTCAAGAAGGAAGCCAGACTGGAGATTCCCGGGCAGAAAAGCACCATCAGTCTTAACACCACTGTTTTGGCCAGCGCAGTGGGTTGCTCATATTTCGGCCCTGGGAATTAACAACTTGGACGTCCACTCAGAGACCTAATTTGAAAGTTGGTAATTACAAAGATGACAGGTGGACAAATTTACAATGACGGGAAGAAACCAGCATAAAAAGCCTGAGAATACTCAAAATCAGAATGCCTCTCCCTCTACAGAGGATCACAGTTCCTCATCAACAAGGGAACAAGGCTTGATGGAGAACGAGCGCATCCCATTAACAGAATCAGGCTTCAGAAGATGGATAATAAGAAACGTCTGTGAGTTATAAGAACATGTTGTAGCCCAATGTAAAGAAACTAAGAACTTTGAAAAAAGGTTAGATGAAATCCTAATGAGAATAGACAACTTAGAGAGGAATATAAGTGAATTAATGGAACTGAAGAATACAATACAGGAACTCCGAGAAGTATGCACAGGTTTAAACACTCAAATTGTTCAAGCAGAAGAAAGGATAGCAGAGGTCAAAGTCCAACTTAATGAAATAAAATGAGAAGACAAGATTAGAGAAAAAAGGATAAAAAGGAATGAGCAAAGTCTCCAAGAAATGTGGGACTATGTGAAAAGACCAAATTTACGTTTGATAGGTGTACCTGAATGCGACAGAGAGAATGAAGCTGGAAAATATTCTTCAGGATATTATTCAGGAAAATTTTCCTAACCTAGCAAAGCAGGACAATATTCAACCCTAGGTAATAAAGAGAATACCACAAAGATATTCCTCAAGAAGAGCAACCCCAAGGCACATAATCGTTAGATTCACCAGGGTTGAAATGAAGGAGAAAATACTAAGGGCAGCCAGAGAGAAAGGTCAGGTTACCCACAAAGGGAAGCCTATCAGACTTACAGCAGATCTCTCAGCAGAAACCCTACAAGTCAGAAGAGAGTGGGGGCCGATATTCAACATCCTTAAAGAACAGAACTTTCAGCCCAGAATTTCATATCCAGCCAAGCTAAGCTTCACAACTGAAGGAAAAATCTTTTATGAACAAGCAAGAACTCAGAGACTTTATTACCATCGGGCCGGTTTTACAAGAGCTTCTGAAAGAAGCATTACACATAGAGAGAAACAACCAGTATCAGCCTTTCTAAAAGTATGCCAAAAAGTAAAGAGCATCAACATAAAGAAGAATTTACATCAACGAATGGATAAAACAGCCAGTTAACATCAAATGGCAGTAATCCTAAATTTAAATCGACTAAATCCCCCAATCAAAAGATACAGCCAAAACCCAACGGGGTATGCTACATCTAGACCCACTTCACATGCAAGGATACACAAAGACTCAAAACAAAGGGATGGAGAAAGATTTACCAACCAAATGGAGAGCAAAAATAAATAAATAAATAAATAAAAAGCAGGAGTTGCAATTCTCGTAGCTGATAAAATAGATTTTAAAGCAACAAAAATGTAGTGGTAAAAGGATCAGTGCAACAATAAGAGCTAACGATCCTAACACCCAGATACATAGAGACTTAGACTCAGTGAGACAGAAAATTAATAAGGATATCAAGGACTCGAACTCAGATCCGGAACAAGTAAACTCAATAAATATTTATAGAGCTCTCCACTTTAAATACACAAAATATACATTCTTGTCAATACCACATCACACCTACTCATAGGTTTAAATGAAATATTGATTGGCCATTATTAATACCCATTTTTTTTTAGAATAAAGCAACATTTCCATTATCTCTCCCTCTTTTTCTTCCTCTTTCTTCCTCTCCTTCACTCCTTTTTTTTTCTTTCCTTCTTTCAAAAAAAAAAAAAGAAATCAATTTGTAGACCTCTAGATCCAGGTCGGCAATGTCTCTCTCATTGCCTGATTTCCTTCCCTCCCTCCCTCCCTCCCTCCCTCCCTTCCTCCCTCCCTTCCTCCATCCCTCTCTCCCTTCCTTCTGCCCTCCTTTCCTCCCTTCCTGCCTTCCTTTCTTCCTCCCTTCCAAAAAAAAAAAAATGAAAAACTGATGTTACATACGAACTGGTTATGCTTTTAAAAATAGCTTTTTAATTCTTGTATATATGCACAGGATTTCTCATTAAAATCACTTTTGATCACTTCTCGGCCTTTTGGCTAAGATCAAGTGTAAAATCACCTTTGGAGAGGTTTAAAACAAACTCCAGGGCCTCTGGAGGCCCTCATTCAGTAGGTTTGGGGCAGGGAGAGCCTTGACATGTTTAATGAGCCTTGGGATGATTCTGATGTTTCCTTGCACCAGTGGAGCAGGAGTTACTCTTCATGATGTCTAAGATTAAATGCCACTGATAGTCATAACAACGTTCTGCAAAATTTGATTTTACCCTTGAAGGGGAAGCATGTTTTCAGGGAAGCCATATTTTTTTTTGTTTCCTTTATATTCCCTAAGAGCTTTGTTTTTTCCAGCAACCATTATATTGGCCATATCCTTGGTAATAGCGGGTTTTGTGGCTATGCCCAGATTTTCATTGAGAATCAGAGAAAGAGGTTGCTTCTCTGTATTATTTTGGGCTTTATATGCTGTTTTCCTCCATGGTCTCTTTCATTTATCGTTGAATCAGCTGGATTTGACTGGCAAAATAAAGAAGGGTGGGGCATTTTTAAAATAAGTAGGCCAGACTTTACATAGCGCAACCAAAGGGCTAGTGGGTTATATTTGTTGTCGTTCCTTTTGCTTGGTTTGACCCTTAACTAGTAACACAATAATCTCAAGAAGGTTGGAATTTCTCAAGAGAACAAGAAGGAAGTGGAGAAGAAACTGACTGTAAAGCCCGTGGAAACCAAGAACAAGTTCTCCCAGGCGAAGCTGTTGGCAGGAGCTGTGAAGCATAAGAGGTCAGTCAGCATTCACGCAACTTAGATTTCACTCTGACCATGTACTCTGAAACACCACTTTTAATGGTAGCCAGAGACAGTGCTTACCTCACATGAGTCCTGGTGAAGTTCCTTTGGTGTGCTGACCTCACTTTCCCCTTACAGGTTTGGTGTCTTCTACAGGCTTTGACTCTCATCTCTCTGATCATTCATTCAACACATATAAATAATAGCTGCATTTCAGTGGGCATCTGCCATGCCAAGTATTGTGTTAAGTGCTTCCTGTGCATAATTTCATTTATTCTTCAACAATCCTATAAAGTACGATTATAATCCCTGTTTTGTAGATGAGAAGACCAAGAGTTTGAGAGGTTGAGAACCTTTTTTGTGCAAGATCATACAGAAATAGAGAGCTAGAGTTCAGTATTTGGGCTTCTGTCTAGAAAAATGAGTTAACAATTATTGTGAAAGGATCTGTGTAGGGTGTACTGAGAGCAAGGAGGAGGAGCATACACCCTGCTTAGAGGGTGTGTGCATCTTCCTCTTGGGGAAGATGGAGAAAACCCTGGAAAGATGCTGATTAGGTAGGATAACTAGGGCTTTGACAAGCAACAAGGGAGAGAACAGTCTAGGCAGAGGGAACAGCTCCTGTGAAAGCATCATTTCCTGAAAACACATGGCAGCCCTGACAGGGTTACAGACCTGGCTGTGGCTAGGTTTGATTGATGTGGAAGTGACTGCACTATCTTGAGCCTGTGATAAGTTCTTTGCTATGTTTGCTCCTCCCTTTCCAAATCCTGAAATGGCATCAGAGTGACTGAATCTGGTCATTTCGATTTGACCCAACAGACCGTGGGCGAAATGATAAGTTTAAGTGCAGTCTGTTAGGAAAATCAATATGGTGTATTGGCAGCCAGCCATATGTTTTTGAAGGCAGTCTTGTGGTTTGGCACTCCACCCATCTGCTGCAGATGTTCTTAGGAACACTGCCTACATGTAAAAATGTCATCCTGGTATAGCAGCAGAGGGGAGGAGTTATCCTGAGAAGGGCTCGTTACCCAATCCATGAATAATAATTCCTTTCAAGTTCTCACATATTCTTTCTTGCAAGACCGGGGACACTTAGAATTTGGACCTGGGTCAGTTTTACTCCAATGTGCCTAGGGAGGGCTCTCCTGGTGATCAGTTTGTTGTTCCCTGAGACTGCTCTTGGTGATTGCAGAATGGGTGTTGTAACTGTCTCCCTTAGTTCTTAGATCACCTTTAGGAAAGGCTCTGTAGTCGCTTATTTGGTGACCTGCATATAACCCCTTTTGGGTGTTGAAACAACATCATTTAATGTTGCTTTGTGTAACAAGGTGTTGAATTAGTCTCCTGGGGCAGGAGTTCCTAATCTATCTGACCCTGGGTTTATTGGAATCACTAGGAGTTTGTTAATAACATATATTCACAGGCCTCATACTAATTGTGGCTCAGTAAGTTTGAAGTGAAGCCTCGGAGTCGTAGTTTTCAAAGTTCAGTGAGTGATTCTGCTGCCTGGTGAAGGTCTGGAAGCCATTGGCACGTATATGTCATGAAGCATAAGAACAAAACAAGCAGCAATTTCTTACCTTCTTCAGAGGACTATTCTTTAATCTCTTCTACCTTACTCTTTTATTTATTGTTAGAAAAAATTGTCAGATACCTAGTTCATGAATGTGCAGCCTTTTCAGTTACAGGCATCTGAAGCTATAAATTTTCCTCAGCGTTCATTGTATATAAGTTTTATATTTCCAAGTATTTAAAAATATCCATTAGGATTTCTTCTTTGACTCAGGAATTATTTAGAAATGTATTTTTAAAATCTCCATATTGAGGTAATAACCATATTTAATTGAGGGGGAAGATAAACCTTTCTCTTCACCACACACACATTTTAACACCTTATGATGATACGTTGATATATATATAACTGTTTTAGAGGCTACAAAATATGTTTCTCTTTTGTCATTGATTTCTAACTTAATCACAGTGTTGTTTTATATATACTGCTCATTCTTTTTACTTTACTTTTCTTTTTTTTTGAGCCGGAATTTCCCTCTTGTCCAGATTGGAGTATGATGGCATGATCTTGGCTCACTGCGAACTCTGCCTCCTGGGTCAAGTGATTCTCCTGCCTCATCCTCCAGAGTAGCTGGGATTACAGGCGTGTACCACCACACCTGGCTAATGTTGTATTTTTAGTAGAGATGGGGTTTCACCATGTTGGCCAGGCTGGTCTCAAACTCCTGACCTCAGGTAATCCGCCTGCCTCAGCCCCCTGTAGTGCTGGGATTAAGGCATGAGCCATTGCTCCAGGCTTCTTTTTTTTTTTTGGAGATAGGGTATTGCTCTGTCCGCTAGGTTGAGTGCATGGAACAATCATGGCTCACTGCAGCCTCGACCTCTGGGGCTCAAGTGATCCTCCCCACCTCAGCCTCCCAATTAGTTGTGCATATAGGCATGTGCCATCACACCTGGATAATTTTTTTTTATTTTTAATGAGGACCAGGTTTCTCTATGTTATCCAGTATGGTCTCGACCTCCTGGGCTCGAGCTATCCCCCCAGAGCCTCCCAAGGTTCTGGGATTGCAGGTGTGAGCCACTGAACCTGCCCAACGCGGATTCTTTTAAAGTTGTTTTAGACTTGCTTTGTTACCTGTTCCTGAGGTTAATGTTTGTAAATGTTGCAAGTATTCTATGTTTTTTAATTATTGGTTCTGTGTAGAAAAAAAATCAAGTTTGATTACTGGTATTATTTACCTTTTATGTGTCTATGTATTTGTCTGTTTGCCCATCAGTTTTTATTTTTTTATTTGAGACGGAGTTTCGCTCTTGTTACCCAGGCTGGAGTGCAATGGCACCATCTCGGCTCACCACAACCTCCGCCTCCTGGGTTCAGGCAATTCTCCTGCCTCAGCCTCCTGAGTAGCTGGGATTACAGGCACGCGCCACAGTGCCCAGCTAATTTTTTGTATTTTTAGTAGAGACGGGGTTTCACCATGTTGACCAGGATGGTCTCGATCTCTTGACCTCGTGATCCACCCACCTCGACCTCCCAAAGTGCTGGGATTACATTCTTGAGATAAGTGTTTTGAAATTCCCACTATAATAGTGATTTCTTTTCATAGTTCTGTCAAATGTATATTTTAAGCTCTTTAATTAGATACATACATGTTCAGAATAGTTATTTCATTATAGTTAATCAAACTTTTGTTATAAAGTAATCTTTCTTTCTTTTTTTTTGAGACTGAGTCTTGCTGTATCACCCAGGCTGGAGTGCAGTGGTACAATCTCAGCTCACTGCAACCTCCACCTTCTGGGTTCAAGCAGTTCTCCTGCTTCTGCCTCCCGACTAGCTGAGGCTACCCACCATCATGCCTGGCTAATTTCTGTATTTTTAGTTTTACCATTTTGGCCAGGCTGATCTTGAACTCCTGACCTCAAGTGATCCGCCCACCTCGGCCTCCCAAAATGCTGGGATTACAGGCTTGAGCTACTGAGCCTGGCCTAAAGTAACCTTTCTAATCCTTTACAGTGTTTTTGTTCTTAAAGCCTATTTTCCTAATATTAATATTAGTGCTTCAACCTTCTTTAGGTGATTTGCCTTAGTACCTCTTTTTCAGTTCTTTTACTTTGAAACTTTCTGGATATTAAGTTGTTTGTTTTTGTTTCACTTTGGTTAATTTTTTAGATGTGTCTCTTATAAATAGTTGCTTTTAAATTTAGTTTATTAAAGCTGGGTGTGGTGGCTCAGGCCTGTAATCCCAACATTTTGGGAGGCTGAGGCGGGTGGATAACTTGAGGTAAAGAGTTCGAGACCAGCTTGGCCAACATGGAGAAACCCCATCTCTACTAAAAATACTCATGCCTGTAATCCCGGCTACTCAGGAGACTGAGGCAGGAGAATCACTTGATTCCAGGAGGTGGAGGTTGCAGTCAGCTGAAATTGTGCCACTGCACTCCAGCCTAAGCTACAGAGCAAGGCTCCATCCCACAATAAATAAATAAACAAATAAGATAATTAATTTAGTCTATTAATAACTTCCCATTAATAGATTTGGTCGGTTTATAGTAAGATTTTAAAATATAATTTCTATCATATTAATGTCTTTTGACTTAAAAAAATATTTTTCCTGGCAGGCACTGTGGCTGAGGTCAGGCGCAGTGGCTCATGCCTGTAATCCCGGCACTTGGGAGGCTGAGGTGGTGTATCACCTGAGGTCAGGAGTTCAAGACCAGCCTGGCCAACCTGGTGAAACTCCATCTCTGCTAAAAAAATACAAAAATTAGCCAGGCATGGTGGTGGGTGCCTGTAATCCAAGCTACTTGAGAGGCTGAGGCAGGAGAATCACTTGAACTTGGGAGGTGGAGGTTGCAGTGAGCCGAGATTGCACCATTGCACTCCAGCCTGGGCAACAGAGAGACTCTGTCTTTTTTTTTTTTTTTTTTTTTTCCCCAAGACGGAGTTTCGCTGTTGTTAACCAGACTGGAGTACAATGGCATGATCTCAGCTCACCACAACCTCCGCCTCCCAAGTTCAAGCAATTCTCCTGCCTCAGCCTCCTGAGTAGCTGGGACTACGGGCGCGCACCACCATGCCCAGCTAATTTTTGTATTTTTAGTAGAGACGGGGTTTCACCTTGTTGACCAGGATGGTCTCGATCTCTTGACCTTGTGATCCACCCGCCTTAGCCTCCCAAAGTGCTGGGATTACAGGCGTGAGCCACCATGCCCAGCCGAGACTCTGTCTTAAAAAAAACTGTTTTTTACTTGTATTCTTTTATTTAACAAAATGACTGAGATATAAAATTCTTTCATTCATTTTTTTCTTTCTACTAGTTTAGACTTACATACTCTATTTTTTTTTCTCATAGTGGCCAACCTTGAAATTTACCAGACATACTTCCCACGGACCTTAGAACCTTTAGCTACAATCACCTCTTCCTTCTTTGCATGCTGCTGTTGTGCAGGACTTCAGTCTGGTCATGTTGAACACCACAAACTAGATGTTATTTTTTAATATGGACAGTATTTGTTTAGATTTATATTTGTGCTTGCCAGTTTCTTTGTTCACCACCCATTCCTTCTGGGATCGTTTCGTTCTTCACTGAAATATATTCCTTATACATTCTTTTAGTGAAAAATCTTTTGGGTGACCCTTAGAATCTCTAGCATGTCACTGAAGATGTTTTCTTCAATCTGTAATTACTAAATGTTTGTCATTTGTGAACATGTCTAAATACTCTTGAAATCCATCTGTGGTTCTAACCAATTTGAGTGATAAAGACGGCCAAGAATCTGAAGTTGAAGTGATGCTTGAAGATACAGTGCTTTACTCCCTGGATTTGTCAGGAGTTTAAATTGTCTTTATGACTAATGATATAATTGGAAGGAGATTAAGAATCTGAAATGAATACTTTTCATTCATTTTTATCATCCTAGCTTCTTGAGACTGCCTAAGACCCATATAAATAGTTATTGGAGCTCCTGATTCCCTAAGCTTTGATCCCCAAGATTAGACATAGCTCATATCACCATGTGTTTTGTTACAGCTCAGAGAGTGGCAACAGTGTGAAAAGACTGAAATCGGACCCAGAGCCAGATGACAAGAATCAAGGTGGGTGGCAGCCTTCATTACTCTCTCATACTCAGAATACAGATGAACCACAGTAAAGGGCTGGAATGCATTGCATCTGCAAATGAATACATTTCTGTCTTCAAGCAAGCCTACCTAGACTTAATTTACCCAACTATTTTATGCCAGGCAAGATTTTATACCAGGCAAGAGTTTGTCAGCCAGGTAAGAGTTTATACTAGGCAGGATTTTATACCTGCAAAGTTATGACAGTAGAAAACAGTGAAACTGATCAGTGAAAACAGTACTCTCCCAGGAACGCTTACCAGGCCCTGGTCGTATCACCTCTGCTTACAAAAGGATTTTTTTCTGTTTCCTCCAAATGTCACATTTCTTGATTTCACCTGGCTTGCTACCTAACAGGAGGTAAATACCTGGCTCCTGCTCATTGTTGGATTGGATTGAGCCTAGAAGCTTAATAGTTTCCAAGAGTATACTTCCTTGGTTTTTACCTTTATGTGAGGAAATCTGTCTCTGTATTAAGTGGCAGGAAGTTGTAAGCGAAGGTGAATGTTACTGGAAGCTGGATTAGGGATGAGAAATTCAAGAGTGTGTTTTCATTTTTATTTAACTCCGTGTGGGGTTGAGACACTGAACTAAATTCCATGGATCAACAGGGCTTACATTAATTTCTCTCAAAAAAATAATGATGCTTTTTAATATGCCTCTACTAAGCGCCAGTGGTGGTAGGCTATTACTGTTACCCTTTTGCTGTAGAACCTACTTTTAAAAAGAACCTACTTTTCTTTCTGAAAGAAAATAATAATGATAATAAAAGGAAGAGTCTACCTTTTATCCATTTCCTCTCCCATCTAGTTCTTCTTAGAGGGAAACAGAATTATATCATTTTTTTTTAAGATGAAGTCTCACTCTGTCGCCCAGGCTGGAGTGTAGTGGCCCAATTTCAGCTTACTGCAACCTGTGCCTCCTGGGCTTAAGTCATTCTCCTGCCTCAGACTCTCGAGTATCTGGGATTACAGGTGTGTGCCACCACACCTGGCTAATTTTTGTATTTTTAGTAGACGTGGGGTTTCACCATGCTGGCCAGGCTGGTCTTACTCTCCTGACCTCAAATGATCTACCTGCCTCAGCCTCCCAAAGTGCTGGGATTACAGGAGTGAGCCACCAAGCCCGGCCACATTTCTTTCTTTCTTTCTTTCTTTTTTTTTTTTTTTTTTGAGACAGAGTTTCGCTCTTGTTACCCAGGCTGGAGTGCAATGACGCAATCTTGGCTCACCGTAACCTCCGCTTCCTGGGTTCAGGCAATTCTCCTGCCTCAGCCTCCTGAGTAGCTGGGATTACAGGCACGCGCTACCGTGCCCAGCTAATTTTTTGTATTTTTAGTAGAGACAGGGTTTCACCATGATGACCAGGATGGTCTTGATATCTTGACCTCGTGATCCACCCGCCTCAGCCTCCCAAAGTGCTGGGATTACAGGCTTGAGCCACCGTGCCCGGCCCATGCCCAGCCACATTTCTTATGTATTCATCAAGAGCTATTCTATGATGTACAAGCAATTATAAATATGTATTTTTTAAATGCTTTATTATGAATAATTTATGCAGTATTCAGAAGTTGGGATAAGTATAATAAACCTCCATCACCTAGCTTCAATGACTTTTTTTTCTTTGTAAGCTAAAGCTATCTCCGACAGGAAAGAGCTTCAACAATTTTTTTTTTTTTTTGAGACAGAGTCACTCAGGCTAGAGTGTAGAGTGGCATGATCTTGGCTCACTGCAGCCTCTGCCTTCCCGGTTCGAGCAATTCTCATGCCTCAACCTCCCAAGTAGCTAGACTATAGTCATGTGCCACCACGCCCAGCTAATTTTTGTATTTTTAGTAGAGATGGGGTTTCACCATGTTGGCCAGGCTGGTCTTAAACTCCTGGCCGAAAGTGATCCACCTGCCTAAGCCCCCCAAAAGGTGCTGGGAATACAGGTATGAGCCACCACACCAGTCAACAATTTTTAACACATAGCCAATTTTATTTCATTTATATCTCTCAACTGTAATATTTTGTGACAATTTTAGACATAATATTATTTCATTCATAATTTTTTTTTTCTTTTTTGAGATGGAGTTTTGCTCTTGTTACCCAGGCTGGAGTGCAGTGGCACGATCTTGGCTCACCGCAACCTCCGCCTCCCGGGTTCAGGCAATTCTCCTGCCTCAGCCTCCTGAGTAGCTGGGATTACAGACACGTGCCACCATGCCCAGCTAATTTTTGTATTTTTAGTCGAGACGGGGTTTCACCATGTTGACCAGGATGGTCTCGATCTCTTGACCTCGTGATCCACCCGCCTCGGCCTCCCAAGTGCTGGAATTACAGGTGTGAGCCACCGTGCCAGACCCTCATAATTCTTAATATGTGTCTCTAGCAAATACAAGTTCTTACTTTGTTTCTTTGTTTTAACAATTATAATACCATTATATTAATAATCACAATAATTACCAAATATTATCGATTATTAAGTTAGTATTTTTCTCCACTTGTCTCAAAAAAGTTTTTTCTTTTTAAAAATTACAATTTAAGCAAGAATCAGAACTTATATTTGGCTACTATGGCTTTTAAAAAAATTATTGAGGTATAATTCACATACCATAAAATTCACCCTATAAAGGGTACAACTCAATGGTTTATGTATTTTAAAAATCTGTTGACCATAAATGTATGGGTTTATTTTTGGACTCTCTTGATCACTATAGCTTTGGAGTAAGTTTTGAAATTGGGAAGTGTGAGTCTTCTAACTTGGCTCCTCTTTTTCAAGATTGTTTTGGCTATTTGGAGTCTCTTGCATTTCCATATGAATTTTGGGATCGGCTTGTTAGTTTCTGCAGAAAAGGCAGCTAAGATTTGATACAGGAATTTTTGGAATCTGTAGATAATTTTGGCAATATTTCCATCTTATAATATCTTAGCAATAGGCTAATATACCTTTTAATTTGAATTTAATCTCTAAGTTCTTTCTTTCTGAATTATATTTTGTTTTCTTTGTATTTTATTTGTGGAGAAACTGGGTCTTTGTTCTTAAACGTTCCTCAGGCTCTAGATTTAGCTGATTGCATCCCCATGCTGTTTCCTGCTACTCCTGTAAAATGGTAATTATATCTGGAAGCTTGATCAAGTTGGTTTTTTTCAGCAAGAATACATCATATATTGTTTTGATACTTTCATTATTAGTAGTATTTTAATCTAATCTACTCTGTTCATTGCTTAATTCAGCAGTTATTGTACCTTGGGAATCATTGCATAATTGGAGATAAAGTGCTCCCTTGTTCCTTTTTAAGGCTGTATAATATTGTATATTGTATGGGTATATCATAGTATATTTATCTCACTTTTTAATTGAACACTTAGATTGTTTCCATTCTTCCCCTGTTCTGATGTTTCAGTAATAATCCTGCATGTGCATAATTTTTCACTTGCACAAATTTATCAGGTTAAATGCTTTGAAGTAGACTTGATAGGTCAGAGAGGATATACATTTGTAATTTAGGTAAATATTGCCAAATCGCCCTTCAGATAAGTTATCCCAATTTATACTCCTATTAGCAATTTTGGAATCTGTCACTGACATCTTTTTAATAAATAGGAAACTTGGTTAAATAGGATAAATGTATACTGCATATGTGAATACACATACACACACAAAACTTCATAGGAATATTTTTCTTTTAATTTTTATAGAGATGGGATCTCACTTTGTTGTTTAGGCTGTATTGCTTTGACTATTCACAGGTGTGATCATGGCACACTATAGCCACAAACTCCCAGGCTCAGGTGATCCTCCCACGTCAGCCTCCTGAGTAGCTGGGGTTAAATGCTCCTGGCGTGCGAATCTTAAACGTATTTCCACAAGTAAATTAGTTGCCCTCTGTATGGTACTTATTTCCTGGTAGGAACTATACTAATTAATAATTGGAAAGGAAAATTTGTGTGGCTTCTTTGAACTATCTCAGGCAGACACTTGTGTTTCAGGGCCATCTTATTGTCATTCTAAATCCTTTCTTCCTACTTCTGCATTCTTGCAACAGAAATTAGGCAGGAAGTGTCCTCTTTTGCTAGGAGTTAAGGCTCCACAAAAAGAACGCTCCTTGAGGCTTGCTTCAGTCTTGTCCTTGGCAGTAGGAGGATTTGCCCTTTGGGCCTCCAGAAGACAACTCTATGACCCTGATAGAGATTCAGGCTTCCCCCACTGAAGACTCTGAACTTAAGCACTGAGCAGAGCCAGTGAATGCACAAGTTGGCCCCATCTACTCCCAAGTCACGCATCTGTCTGAGTACTAAGAACATTCTCTATTAGTAATTTTCTGTGTTAATTTGGTATGACAATGTGGTCCTGCAAATGCAGAAGTTGGCAGGAAACTTCACCAAATGGGTGAGATCAGAGGGCACCATTTTGTTCTCTTTGGGCAGTTAACTGCTTTTGGAATGAAATTTGTCAGAGTTGCAATCTCTTTTCTTTCTTGAAACCTCCTAGATAATTGGGATATTTGGTCTTTTCATGTAAATTCTTCTGATGCCATAGTGGTCCAGATTCCTTGATTATATTTTTGTAGCTAACTTCCATCCTTCCGTTCAGCCAGCTGCCTACCCCCACTGGCACTCTGACTTTCATCCTTCTTTTGTGTGTAAAATAGACCTTTAAATTCCATTCATCCTTGAAACATGGTCATGTACCACATAACGACATTTTGCTTATATGACAGTGGTCCCATAAAATTATGATACCATATTTTTACTGTACCTTTTCTGTGCTTAGCTACATGCTTAGATACACAATTACTGAGCATTGTATTACAACTGCCTACAGTATTTATACAGTAACATGCTGTACAGGTTTGAAGCCTAGGAGCAATAGGCTGTATACCATATGGCCTACATGTGTAGTAGGCTGTACCATCTAGGTTGCATAAGTACTCTATGATGTTCACAATCATAAAATTGTCTAATGATGCATTTCTCAGGTCAGATCCCCATCATTAAGCAGGGGTGACTGTACTCGATAAAACGATATATCTCATTCAACAATTTCACATAAGTTAGTTTTCGAAGTGACTGATATATATACCCTTATAAGGCTTTTTGGTGTTTTGTTTTTTGTTTTTTTTTTTTTTAGACAGTCTTGCTCTATCACCTAGACCGAAGTGCAGTGGTACAATCCTCCTCCTCCCAGGCTCAAGTGATTCTCCTGCCTCAGCCACCAAGTAGCTTGGATTACAGGCATGCACTATCACACTTGGCTAATTTTTGTATTTTTAGTAGAGATGGGATTCCCCCATGTTGGCCAGGCTGGTCTCGAACTTCCGACCTCCGATGATCCACCTGCCTCAGCCTCCCAAAGTGCTGGGATTACAGGCGTGAGCCACCACTCCTGGCCGTTTTTTTTTTTTTAACAACCAAATTTTTCTAATAGAAAGAATACTGAAAGTATCATTCTATATGGTATACATAAGTAATATACTGTATAAGTTGTGATTGATGTTATGTCCCAAATGTTATAAAAGCATCACATTTTTATACCCTTTCCCAAATTAGCCAATTGCAATGAAACTCTGTAAACTGTCTAACACATTTTCCTGCATTCTGACTTCTGACCCTTGTGAGTGCAAGCCTGCTCTGAGCCAGACCCTGTGCTATATGTCCTGGAGGTGGAATGGTGATGAAAGAGCTCTTGCCTTCAAGGGGCTTACAGTTAGTGGAGAATACAAACAAGCAACCCTTCTCCTCTGACTTCTTTGCTTTCATACTGGGACTGAGATAAATGGAATTATTCCTCCCTAGTTTAAGTGGCTTACATGTTATTTGAATTTTTGTAATTGCTTTTTAAAAAAAATTGTCTACCCAAGCACAGATAAGTGTTAAAAAATTGTCTGAATTGGTAATATATGCACATAATAAAACATTTAGGCCAGGTGAGGTAGCTCATTCCTATAATCCCAGCACTCTGGGAGGCTGAAGCGAGAAGTTCACTTGAGCCCAGGAATTTAACTTGGGCAGCATAGTGAGACCTATGTTCTCAAAAAATAAAAGAAAAATTCAAAAGAATGTGGAAAAAGAAAAATTCATAAAAGTAAGTCTCCCCCATTTTCCAGCTACTTAATTCCTTTCCCCTGAGCAGCCACTGCTGCCAGTTTTTATGTATTGTTAGACACTGTCATGCATATACATGGGCATGTCCACTTCCCTCCCAAATTGTAACTTTCACACACTGTCTTGCCCCTTGCCTTTTTCGTTTAGCACAATATCTTGGGGATCATTCAATAATAGTACACACAGAGATGCTTTCTTCTTCTTTTTCTTCTTTCTTTTTTCTTCTTTTTTGAAATGGGGTCTTGCTCTGTCACCCAGGTTGGAGTGCAGTCACCCAGGTTGGTGTGATCATGGCTCACTACAGCCTCAACTTCCCCAGTTCAAGTGTCCCACCTCAGCGTCCTGAGTAGCTGGGACTACAGGTGTATATCACCACACCTTGCTAATTTTTTTAGGTTTTTTGTAGAGACAATGTCTCTTTGTGTTGCCCAGACTGGTCGCAAACTCCTGGGGTCAAGTGATCCTCCTGCTTTGGCCTCCCACAGTGCTGGGATTATAGGCATGAGCCCAGCTACTTTATTCTTTTTAATGGTTGAATAGTAGTCCGTTACTTACCTAGCCATCTATTAATGGACATATTGGTGTCTGTAGTCTTTCACTACTGTAAACAGTGCTGCAGTGAATGTTCTCTTATGAACATCATTTAAGTTTGAAGAACATTGCCAAATTTCTCTGTACCCTCGAACAACATATGAAGTTTGCTGTTCCCAACACATTCCCTCCTAATATATTGTTTACCCCCTTATGTTTAAAATTCATCTGTTTCTTTTTCTGTGAGCTGTTCATGTTTTCTGTTCACTTTTCTATTTAGTTGTTGGTTGTTTTTTTAACAGATTTGGAAGAACTCCTAGTATCTTAAGGAAAGTTGCTTTTGTGATATTTGTTGCAAGTATTTGCTCTTGCCTTTTTTTGTAGCCTTGTTCTCACTATCTCTGCAGTCATTATCAGCTTTCATTTTACTTTTCTCCATCTTTGTGTTTTAACATTGCTTATCTGTAGCAGCTCCCTTTTCCCTTCTTAGAGTTTCTTGCACAAACAAGTAAATACACTGATCTCTTGAACTTTGTGTGCTGGCCGTTTGATATCTCTTCTAACTGCTCAGTGGTATTGTTTGCTTACTCCTGGTTGTCTATACTTGGAGCTGTGTATTCTTTTCATATTTACTTGAAATGTCTGAGTAAATGAGGCGCTCGCGCATCTAAGGCATAACCCTAAAAGATGTATGCTTGTTAGCCTGTGGCGATGAACTGTGAACTCCAACCCTTACTCTGCAATGAGCTCAGATGATCATTTTAGTATGTTATCTTTTAATTCACATTTAGTTTAACATTTTGTGCCCTAAGCAACCTACAACCTTGCCAAGTGATTTGACTTTCCTCATCAGTAAGATGGGGATGATGCCTATACATCAAATTGTAGTGATTAAATAAGGCTGGAAACATTTCAGGGAAAAAGCAAAGGGCTGGAGTAGAATTCTTAACTTTCCCTTTCGTCTTCAAGTCGTCCATTTTCTTTCTTCTTTTTTTTTTTTTTTCTTGAAACCGGGTCTTGCTCTGTTGTCCAGGCTGGAGTACACTGGTGCCATGATAGTTCACTGTAACCTTGAATTCCTGGGCTTAAGCAATCCTTGCCTCAGCCTTATGAGTAACTGGGACCACAGGCCCAACCATCACACCCAACTAATTTTTTTTTTTTTTTTGAGATGGAGTCTTGCTCTGTTACCCAGGTTGGAGTGCAGTGGCATGATCTTGGCTCACTGCAACCACTGCCTCCTGGATTCAAACTATTTTCCTCCCTCACTCTCCCTAGTAATTGGGATTACAGGCATGCATCACCACGCCCATTTTTTTGTTCTTTTAGTAGAGATGGGGTTTCACTATATTGGGCAGGCTGATCTTGAACTCCTGACCTCAAGTCATCCACCCACCTCGGCCTCAAAGTGCTGGGATTACAGGCATGAGCCACCGTGCTCGGCACCGACTAATTTTTTAAAACATTTTCTTGTAGAGACAGGGACTCACTATGTTGCCCAGGCTGGTCTTAAACTCCGGACCTCAAGTGGTCCTCCCATCTCAGCCTCCCAAAGTGCTAGGATTGTAGGCATGAGCCACCGTGCCGAACCAAGTCCTGCATTGTCTAGATTGAGGTCTTTGTCATTGAGATGGCAGAACAACTGTGGGGTTCCTGTAAGACAAAGAGTCTTAGCTTCTAGGTGACATTCTGCATGGCCTTAAAATGTTACCTGACAGGCTTCAGTTTTCTCATCTGTAAAATAACACAACTGGAAAGCAAAGGTTGTGTTAAGTCAGTTTCTGAATCACTCCTCTCTCCCATCAGGGAAAAGTGGCCCTTAATACAGAGCATTATTCTGGTGAGTCCCTCGGAGCCTATTCCAGTCGTGGGGGCTGCCCAATTTTTTAACATTTTTTAAAAGAAAATGTTATCATGTAGCTGATGTTTGGCCTTGAAAATGTATCTGTGCTTGCTGGCATATTGGTCAGTAAGTAAGAAATGGCATAATATGCTGAGAAGTTAATGGAATTGTTAATACTGCTCACAGTGTCTCTCTTAATCTGTCTTCATCCCTACTGTTGAGGGCATGTGGAAGCCTTTCATCCCCCACCCACGTGTCCATTTCACGGCTGTGTGAGCACAGGGAAATCAAAGCACTCTAGGTTACACTCTGAAGTAGCTAGTTCTGCAACTCAGAGCTGATGGAGAACAACAGAGTATAGTCAGGCTCTGGGGTTAAAAAGACCTTGATTCAAGTCTCAGCTCTGCCCCTTTACTTTCAGAAGTCCTTTCACCTCCTGGAGCCTCCCTTCCTTCTTTAGTTTCCCCGTCTCTAAATCGAGGGCAATGATAGTATTGGCTGCATAGAGTTGTTCTGAGGCTTCTCTGTGGGAAAAGCCCTTGGTACAATGCCTGGCACATGGTATGTCAGTCGTCAACTTTGGAAAACAGTGATGAAGTGACAGTCTTTCCCCTTTTGTTGCAGAGGCCTCATCCTGCAAGTCTCTCGGAAACACTTCCCTGAGTGGCCCCTCCATCCACTGCCCCTCTGCTGCAGTCTGTATCGGCATCCTCCCAGGCCTGGGTGCCTACTCTGGGAGCAGCGACTCCGAGTCCAGCTCAGACAGCGAAGGCACCATCAATGCCACTGGAAAGATCGTCTCTTCTATCTTCCGAACCAACACCTTCCTCGAAGCCCCCTAGTTTCTCTGTGCTTACGCTGGAAACTCCTCCCCAAGGGTAGATCGGACCGTTTATGCCACCTACAGACATTATGTCCCTCAAAAAAAAACTCCTTTGCCTGTGTCCTGTGCACAACGTGACATTTTTAACCAACCCAATCTAAAGATGTGCCAGAATCTACCTGTGGCCCAAATCGTGTTTGGTTTCTCTTTCCACTCCAGTGCAGATGACCAAACCTGTCCCGCTGCCACTTCCTCACTGACGTGGGGAGGAGGGCAAGGCCCAGCCGAAGTTCCACTAAAAATGCCCTAGGAGGATAGGCACCGGCTGGCTTGCCAAAAGGTTCAGGTTTTATTGCTTTCTGTTTTTTTCTTTTCTTTCCTTTCCCAACAGCACAAAAAAGTAAGGGCAGTTATTGGACAGGTATTATTTAAACATTCTATTGTAGGTGAGTGTGCTGTTTGGTTCCACTGCATTGTAGAGCATGCGGGGGAAGAGAACTGACCCAGGTGAAGAAATGGAGCCCTTCCCTCGAACTAACCAGTCCTCAATGTTGTGTGACTAAGTAGAGATGCTAAACCGCATCCGCTGGGGGTGTCGCTTCACACTCGGCATGCATTGTGAAGGCTTTCCACCCTTGGCCATTCCGTTTCCCCTCTCTCCAACCCCATTTATGCAGGAAGGGACTGCTAACAAGAAAACTTCCATCTTCTCAGACCTTTTCTCTGCCTCAGAAATTATTTTATGTTTGTTTTTGAAATAAAGGATTTAGTTTGAGATTCAAAATCTTAGAGAAACGTAGGCCTTGTTTACTCATAGCCAGACATCAGAACTGTGGGTAGGTATGTTAATGAGATGACTTATTTCCGGCAGCTCCTGGAATCCAAATATTGTAAACTAGTGGAACATACTTGCATTTTATGACTGTTCTATCGAGGCCCTTCTCTGTTTAATGCATATTATATTTGTGCTTTTAACTGTGGAATCTATTTCTAACTTAAGGGTGCTGCCCTAGTACTTTTCTTTGCTGCCCCTGCTGCTCTTTTTCCTTTCCAGACAGCAACTCTTGAGGCCATGAGCAGCCAAAAACTAGTGGTGCTCCTCTATCTTGTCTCATAAAGGGAAATGGGCTCAACCCTTGGATTCTGGAGGAGGGAGGGGGAGAGGGTGTGGAGACCTCAAGGACAGAGGTAGACATGAGCTTTGACAACAGTCTGTAGGCTCTCCTGCTTCAGAATAAGCCTGTTCCATTCTTTATCCATTCCCCTTGTTCCTACATCAATTGTTTTTACTTTCTTGGGTGTGAGACTGAGCGAGACACATACAAAATGTGTTGACACTGTGATGCCAGCAGGCAAAGCAGCTACTGACTTTGAATGTGGGCAGAGAGGCCTCTGGATCTCATCCAGCCCACTCCTTTTCCCTTTGCAGTGCAGTGACACTCCAGTGCCCGTTGGCAGATGGTGACTTCCCTGCACTCATAACTGATGCCTTGTGAATTCTTCCTCCGTTTCAGAACTACTCTATGCTAATTGTTCTTGACTGCCAATACATGTGTGTCAGCTCCATCCTAACAAATACGACATTTAGGTAAAACTGTGTAGGCACCTTCTGCTTCTCTGCTTCATTGTTCCTGTGATAGTCCTGTTATTACAGCATGTTCCCAAAACAGCCTCACATTGTTACAGGAGGCAGACCAGGGCATCAGAGTCACCATCTTTATGTGGCTTGACTCTTAAGAGGCCATGACTATACTTCATGACCTCTTGATAGAGAAAGAAGTTGACAAAGGGGTGCGGGGTTTAAAAACACAGATTAACGTGAAAGCTAATAAACCTGTCAAAGAACAGCATCTTGTTTTTCCTCTACTGAACATTGTGCTTCTAACTCTCTCCATCTCTCTCAGCTAGATTGTGTTGAGAAGGTTGAGACTCTCCAGACTGTGACTTCTCTTCCTGGTTTCTCAGGAGGACTGAGAATCACTGGTGATCATTGCATCAGGCTCCATTGTACCCATTAGCACAGAGCTCTGGAACTGAGACACAGCTTCTGTAAAAACTACAGCTAACAAAGCAGCGTCTGATCTGACCAACAAAGGAAGCAGCCTTGGAAAGCATCTAATGTAGACCTTGAAGTTCGAACCCAACAGAGAATAGAATAAACAGGGCTGGAAGGAAACACTGCTTTAAACCATAAAGTGTAGTACTCCTGCCTTAATAATTGGGATTTTATAACTGGGTAAGTACGGGACTAAAACAGTTTGGCATGGTTTTCTTTAAGCTTGCTTACTTTGTCCTGAGTGGTAGAATTCTTACCACTCTTCAGCCATGTGAGGGAGAAAGCTAATAGGAATCCTACTGCCAGCTCTGTTTGGGGAGGATTATCTAGCTTGTCACCCACCTGGGTGGAGAAAGGGAGTGTGAAATTTGAAGCATCTATTTTTCCATCTATAAAAAGCAGAGGAGCTGATGTGACTAGACCCAAAAAGGTGGCTGGCTACCTACTTGTGTATATCTTCCCTGAATCTAAGTACACAAGAGACAGAGCTGGCTCCTCAAATCCAAAGGTTGAGTGGGGGCGGGGGCTTCAGGTTTTTTCAGGATCATTCTAGACTGGGAGTCAGGAGCCCCTAAGCTGGGTGACTTAGTGCCAGGCATCCTCATTTCTTTCACTCTAGCTCCTGAGTTCTTCCCTTCTGGCTACCTCCTTCCCACCCAAGAGAGGATCTTCATTTGCCTAAGCCCTTCCGCACTGTTTCTGCCACTCCTCTCTGGGAACTCAGTCTAATTCACCATAGTGGTTATGAATTAGGAGCCAACTATAACTAGCTGTGTCACTTGGGCAAGGTTAGTGTGACCTTTCACCTCACTTTCCTCCTTGGTAAATAGGAATAACACCACTAACTTCCTAGTGAGATAGAGATAACCTAGATTAGGTGCTAGGTGTGCGGTATCTGACAGATGGTGACCACCCTCGGTGCTGTTAGCATCAGCCCTCCCTTGTTTCTGGGTGGCATAGCCAGAGCTTCCATTAGTGTCGATTTATGCAGGGTTATCTATTCCACTCGCCTTCCTCAGTTGCAGCTAGAACACTGGCATGGGCGAAGGGTCAGATCTGGTCGTCAAAGCTCCAACCACCAGCTTTTGCTGTATGCTTCCCTCTTAGCTAAATGTTAATTGCTTAGGCACACCGGGTTCCTTGGCACGGGTGTCCTAGCCGTGGGTATATGGCTCAGCTGTTGTCTTAGGCCCCTCCAGAAAAACAGAGAGAGCTCTGTGGCAGTGCAGATTATTTGGACTTCGGTATTTTCCACGTGCCCAACCCACTTAGGCATCACAGGATGGAATGCAAGTTCTGCTCGGTGGGAGGCTGGGTTCTTGGCAACACTTTTGTAGTCACAGGTTGAACACAGAAACCAGTCACACATTTGTGCTTTAGTGACACTGGCAGGGGCTGACATTTTGCTCCCTTACCTGCTGGAGCAGCGGTTTAGGGAGAGAGGGAGCCTCACCGGGAATAGGCAGCACATGGCCGCAGCATCAGAGCTTTGCAGCGGGCAGAGGCTGAAAAACCTGAGGGACAGCCCTTCACCTGTGCTTTATACTGCAGGCTAGTCTTCCATTACTATTTTAGTAATAGTCATGCACATCACTGCTTGTGTTGGTTTCTTTCGTTCAGTGTATACTGAGAGCTTGCTATGCATGTGCCAGGGTGTTTGGGGCATTTGTGCGTTATTTTCGTGGACCGTAATGTCTTTCATTCTGGGGCAGAAAAGTCCTGTGAAGCAGCCCTTTTCTATATTGTACAGGAAATCAGAATTCCTAGGGCCACATGCCTGAGGTGCGTAGCTAAGTGACAGAACCAGAATTTTCATTTGAGCCTTTAAGTCCAAGCCCGGCTTTCTGTGGTTTCGGTGAAACTTAAACAAATGCCAGTGCCCAGGCTTCTGTGGAGGAGATTTAGGGTGAAGGAATCTTTCCGGCTAGATTTCGAAGTTCACTTTTCAGCCTGCCGTCCATGTGCAGGAACCAAGTAGCAGCACCAAAGCTTGGATTTTTTAAAAAGTGATTTGGAGCCGGGCGCCATGGCTGTAGTCCTAGCACTTTGGGAGGCCAAGGTGGGTGGATCACTTGAGGTCAGGAATTCAAGAGCAGCCTGACCAACATAGTGAAACTCCGTCTCTACTAAAATATAAAAATTAGCCAGGCAAGGTGGCATGCGCCTGTAGTCCCAGCTACTCAGCAGGCTGAGACAGGAGAATCACTTGAACCCAGGAGGTGGAGGCTCCAGTGAGCCGAGATTGCACCACTGCACTCCATCCTGGGTGACAGTGAGATTCTGTCTCGAAAATAAAAAAATAAAAAGTGATTTGGCTGGCCTTGTCAAGAGTTTAGACACATTCCTTTCCCTTCTGAACTGAAGCCAGCCTGGAATAAAGGGCCTGCTTGACTTAACCCACTCACTCCTTAGGCAGAGAAGGAGCAGGCAGAGAGCAGAGATGGCTGGGTCTGCCTCAATGTGAAGCCTGGATGTGGGGTCCGTAGCCATCACACCTGAGGAAGTGACCTATGAGTGGGAGCATATGGGACAGACCCCCACTGCAAGGCTGGGGCTTCGCCTTCACATGGCCCAGTGGATGGCAGCCTCCCTCGTAAGTCACTCCCACGGGAGGTTATAAAGGAGGAGTGGGATTCCACCCATGTTGCCGGCCTGGGGGCCAGTGCTTTGTGGTTTTCCAAGGGACAGTCTGCACATCAGGGCTCTGTGGCGTCCTATGGCCCTCTAGAGAGAAGTGTCCCTAACAGATCCTTCAGCTGACTCTTGGTGGCCACAGAATCAGTAGGGGCATCAGAGGCTTAGGATGAAAGTATCCCTTACTCGCTTCCACCAGAAAAACTCTGGCTGGAGCTCACCAGGAACTAAGAGATGGGAATCTATGTGCTGTGGTGCCCAATCCTAGCAGGCCCTAGTAAGAATTACCAGGAGAGTAGGTGGGGACAATTGACTTCCCAATGTCCGTGGCACAGAGTAACAAATTCATTAGCAGCTTGAGCAGAAGAACCCCATCCAAAGCCAAGGGAAGGCATTCAACGCACTGGAGCAAGTGTGGGCCGTGGAGGCAGCCAGACTTGGGTATGAGACCTTGCTCTGCCTCTAGTAGACTTGATTCACCTCTCTGCTTGTCTCCTCATCTCTGAAATGGTCACTGTCAAGGGCTCGGAAGGGTTCACCAAGATAGTGCTTGCAGCCTAGGCAACAAGGCAAAATTCCGCCTCTACAAAACTGTGCATTGTGGTGCATGCCTGTGGTCCAGCTACTCACCGCTGCACTCCAGCCTTGATGACAGAGTAAGACCCTGTCTCAAAAAAGTGCCTGCAAAACACTGTACACGGAGCTGGAAACAGTACTTAATAGGAAGGTTAGCTGTTACTGGTTACACAGAAGCCCATGTCTAAGGGGCTACCTGGAGCTCCAAGCAGGAGTCATTCAGGTGGATAAAAGAGAAAGAGGTGTTATGTGGAAGAAAGGAGGGACCTGGGAGGGGGTGCTGAACTTTCAGGGGTCCACTGGCTGGTTTCATAAAATTGGGCCTGAGCCCAGAGAGGGGGATGTGGTAGAAACAACAGGGTCATTAGCAGCCCCACTTGGGGTCCTGAGGCCAGAGAGGCTTTCATAGACCTCCAGTGGCTGACCGAAACACCCGGGGGCCCCGACGAGGGGCAGATGGGTGGCTGGGACTGCTGTCCAGTTGTGGGGTAGGGATATGTGGTACTGGCTGCACCTGAGTGTAACCAATCAAACTGGTGTGGACTTGCACATTGATTCATCCACAAATATTTACTGAGTTTGTACAATGTGCCAGGTTCTGTGCCAGTTTAACAGGTTATCCCTGTTAGCTGGAAGTGATTTAACAGGTTATCATGTAGCATGCATGTCCCCATGCAGAAGTGACTACACCAACTTAGCGGGCTTGCAGCGGGGACTTTCATCTTACATTTCCTTTCTCAGATCAGTGAGCCTGTCAGGTCCCTGCTGAGGAAGGAGCTGACACAGGGATGTCTGAAACTCGTTTATTACCCTGAGTATATAACAAATAGAACACAGTCACAGTATTTAAAACAAAAACAAAAAAACAGCAGGAATTAGGTGCAAGCTATGACACAAAGTATACACCAAGGACACGTTCCTTTCATCAGAGTGAACAGCTAGTTACTTGGAAAAAGCCCGTTGTGATTGTAAAAACTTTATTCTCAATAACAATAATAATTCCACTAAAATTATACAAAGTACATTCAATACTTAAGGGTGGCAAGGGTGGGGAGGGGAGGAGAGGAAGCCGGTTTGGCCTGGAAGCATCAACAGTTGACTCCAACAAAGGAAGCCCAGCTGGGCTGGAGGAAGTTGGGGGTGGAGGTCCGGTTGTAAAAAATAAAAATGTGGATCTGGATTGGTAAAAAAAGGCCACCCACAAGGAAGCAGGGTGAGCATGCATGTTCCTGGGGGAGGGTGGGAGGCTCAGCCGACATGCTGCTGCTGGGCACTGGAGCTCAGGCGGGCTCCGAGTTGGTGGGGGGCAGGTTTTTATGCTTGAAATACTGCACAACTTGTTGGGGCAGCTCCGCCAGCACAGCTTTGGCCAAGGTCTCTTTTGCTGCCTGCAGGGTGGAGGAGGGTGGGGGTGGGGAAGAGAGAGAATAAAGGTTAATGACCAGAAGTTGTGAGTGGCACTATGCCCAGAGGGCTATGACAGCAGGTGTCCATGGAGGACAGAATTAGGGCTGTGGGCCAGGGCTGTCTGCAAGTGGCGTCCCTCTTCTCAGTCCAGGCCTGAAATTCCCACTGATTGCAGTGCCTGCCTTTAGGTTAGGTGTAACTGTTACCTGAAGCACTTGAGATGCTTGGGAGTAACAGCTTAGGATGGCTCTGTAGGTGGGACGCACCTACATATCTGGCAAACATCTCCTGAGCACCTTCTTGGCAGGAATGAATGGGCCAAGTCTGGTTCAAATGACATTCTGGTTCACAAGTGAACGGCCAGCCACAGGCCAGGCACGTGGAGGTGCTCGGTAACCGTTCTGTGCATGAAGGGGTGACTGATGCCCAGCGTTTGTCCTCAGGAAGTGAATGCTCCAAAGGAAGGAGTAGAACCATTGCAGGCAAACCCAGAGGATGCTGGACAGAGAGGTGAGGGCCACTGGGTGCAAACCAGCGTGGGCAGTTCTTACTGAGGCTGGCTGCCAGGATCTGAGCCACAGCACCCCTGAGGGACCCACACAGCTGAGGAAACTGAGGCCCAGAGAGGTCAGGGCTTGCCCAAAACCACAGGGTGAGCCTCTGGTCAAATGCGGGTTAAGCCCCTGGCCAGCAGTACAGGGGTGGCATCTGAGAGACTGCCCCCCTCTGGGACTCCTCATGGACCCAGGTGCCAGGGCAGTGACCCCAGCCTCCTTGTGGGCAGACCTGGGATCACCTGCAAATAAAGCCAAAGCCACCTCCAGGAACAAGGTAGGGGACACTACTCTCCCAGGAGGTTGACTTCCTCTCCCAGGCCTAGGGAGAGGAGGTCAACCTAAGATGAGGGGGAGGCCTTGTTTTCCATCTGCAAAATGAGGGAGCTGACTGGGGTGTGATGATCAGGAAAGCCCCTCTCTCCTCCTGCACTTTATGCCACGTGAATAGCCCCAGCCTTTCATCAGACCCCACTAGAGGGCAGGTCCTCCAGGAAGCCTTCCCACCTTCCCCCTGCCAGGAGCCCCAGGCTAGATGCCTACGGCTTCGTGTTCCACCAGCCTGTGGAAGCAAGTGCTCACACTATCACAACGGCTGCCACCAGGGCAAGGCCTGGCACAGCATCTGGCACACAGCAGGCCCTCAGAAGTGCACAGTCAATCGAGTGGAGGAGTCTGGGACTGGGCCAGACAACCTGGAGACTCTCAAGCTTGATGATGAGCTATGGTGGCTGGGGTCCTGTAACTGCCCCTTCCAGCCCAGGCCCACACTCACGTTGCGGAACTCTCGAAAGGGCACGAACTGCACAATATCTCGGGCTGCCTCCTCCCCGGTGTGGGAGCGCAGCGTGCGGCTATCCCCATCCAGGAACTCCATGGCAGCGAAGTCGGCATTGCCCACACCCACGATGATGATGGACATGGGCAGCTTGGAAGCCTGCACCACCGCGTGCCGCGTCTCCTCCATGTCGCTGATGACCCCGTCGGTGATGATGAGGAGGATGAAGTACTGCTGCGGGGATGGGGCCAATAGGGCACTCAACAAGGCCAAGGCCTTGGCACCCCTTCTCCCTCCCTCCTTCACCCCTTCTCCCTCCCTCCTTCACCCCAAACCCTGAGTCCTGGAGGAAGGCAGTGCTTCTTACCCAGCTGCAGCCACGTCCCAGACAACTCCCTATGCGTCCTGCTCTCAGCACCCCACCCCTGCAGGCCTCATAAACTCTGACCTGGTCACAGCAGGAAGCACAAACTGTTCTCCCTCCTGCCCTGTGTGTTACTTTAGGCTCCCCAATTGTGGCCTCTGAGAGCCCTGACTCTGGGCCTGGCCTTGTGGGTTGCTACACTTTGGGACTCTAGGTAACTGACTTGACTTGCAGTGCCTCAGTTTCTTCATCTGCAAAGTGGGAGTTGTTGCAGATAGCATGCCTGACATGTAGTGGTGCAGTCACCTGCATCCTGACAGGCCCACGGCTGGTGCAGGAGGGCTCATCTGGCTGACGGGATCTGGGGCCAGCCTCCTGTCTCTGCTGCATCCAGGCATGGGCACCTGTGACCTCCCTCCATTCCCTACTCAACAAGGCAATCTGAGACATCCTGCAGGAGCTAAAGCAGGTCATCTGGGCCAGGGCTTCCAGGAGCATGGGACTCTGCTGGCAAATAAGTGGATTTAGGTCACATCCCAAACACAGCACTGAGCACCATCAAGTCATCAAGTCGCTCTGTGAAGAGTGCTGGTTCGCAGCGGCCTTTCAATTCTCTGAACTGCACCCAGGAGGAGGTCTTGGTTTGGTACTACTGTGTCTTTCACGCCTCTCTAACATTTGCTAAGCTTTCCTATCAACAGAAAGGGAAGGCAGGAAGCCCAGAGCTGGAGGAGACAATAGTCTCCAGCTAGATTTTAATATCATTGTACAGTTTGTTGTGTTTATTTTTGTTACTCTCTATTTATGGCAAGTGATACTGCTTTTTTCATTTACACTGGGATATAAAGTTTATTAATTAAGTAAAAAAATACTGAATAATTAGTGTGGGAGATCTATAAAGTACAAACTGTGAAGTGGGGCCGGGGTGTGCCTGACTGAAGTGTAGGAAGGCTCCCTGGACCATCTGAGGGTGGAAGGCCCAGGATTCCAAATTGGCCAAGAACTCTGTTTTTTTTTTCTTTTCTTTTTAGGCTGAGTCTCACTCTGTCACCCAGGCTGGAGTGCAGTGGCACAACCTGGGCTCACCACAACCTCCGCCTCCCAGGTTCAAGTGATTCTCCTGCCTCAGCCTCCTGAGTAGCTGGGATTACAGGCACCCGCCACCATGCCCAACTAATTTTTGTATTTTTAGTAGAGATGGGGTTTCACCATGATGGCCAGGCTGACCTTGAACTCCTGACCTCAGGTGATCCACCCACCTCGGCCTCCCAAAGTGCTGGGATTACAGATGTCAGCCACCATGCCTGGCAAAGAACTCATTTGCAGCTCAGCTTTGTCCTTAGTACCCGCTGACCCCTTTAGAGGAAGCTGTTTTCCCCATCTATAATATCAACAGATCAGCTCTTGTGGTCCTCAGATTCTCTGTTTGGGGCTTTAGTCTGACCCTTTTGATTTCCAGAAGAGGAAACTGGGGCCTAGACTAGTCAAGCTCATGGAGCTAAGGAGGGTGGAACCAAGCTGGACCCCAGGTCAGACCTTGGCCACATTCATATCCAGCAAAGCTGCTTGTTCCCTGGGGAGGTTGCAGAGGCTACAAGGTCAGCCCTCCAGGGTGACTTGCTCCCCTGTCTTCCCCACAAGTACAGCCGCAGAGGGAGGGAGCAGGATGAGCTGATGCGGAGACACGGACCTCACTACCCTCCCCCTTAGCTCCAGGCAGCAGTGGTCTAGCTCTGGTACTGTGCCTTTAAGAGACCAATCCCTTGGCTGGGTTTACCTGTTGCCATGGAGATGGCGGCCTGAATCCCACAGTGGTGGCTGCTGCCGCCAGCCCCCCATCCCTGGCTGTGAGGGGGGCCTCAGAAGCCCATCCAGACCTTATTCCTGACAGCCCACCATCGTTCCTGGGCTCCTTCCCTTAGGTAGCCCTCCAACCCCACCTCAATACCATCAGAAATAGTCCAGGGCAATATTTCTGGGACACCTAAGCAGACAGGTAGGAAGACACTAAGAGGCCAGGCAATGAGGAAAGAAAAGATTTATTGGCCTTGGTCTAATGGGCCCCACCTTTCAGTGGATGGGACCTGTCTCCAAGCCCATTCCAGCTCAGGCAGGCAGTGCCCACTCCCTCCGTAGGTGGCCTTCCTGGCTCTCCCATTTCCATCAGCCCCGTGCCTAGGAGATGTGCGGGGCTCACCTCCCTCTTAGCTGGCAGGCTTCCTCCCCAGGGAGCCTGGGGGCAGATAGGGCCAGGTTACGGCAGGACTGTGAGCACCAGTGGCCAGGGGAGGTGATACCATACAGTGACAGCACTACCCTGCCTGTCACCCTCACACTGACTCCCATTCTAGAGGAGTTGAGCTCAGAGAGGTGATGTGACTTGTTGAGGCCTCACAGCTGGGAACTGGCACAGTCCAGACTGAAACCCAGCCTGGCTGACTCCGAAGTGGGGCTCTTTCCATGATGTTTTCCTCCACCACCCACTGGCACAAGTGGCCTGTCATTGTCTCCAACAGAGGGGCCTGGTAGAGAAAAGCTTTCCTCCCAGCCAGCATGCCAGTGTCTGGGGGCCTGAATATCCAGGATAGCAGCCCAGGGTGGGGCCCAGAGCCCTGGTACTGGACTCTAACCTGCACCCCTGTGTGCCAACCAGCCAGCCACCATGTCCACACACAAGGTCCTGGCCTCACCAAGTGCCCAGCTGCGTCTGAGGTCAGCAGCCCAGACCTCAGCAGTAGAAGTGAAGCTGATGAGTCCTGGGCTTCCTGCCCAGCCTGGACAAAGCCAGAGTTGTTCAGGAGCCTCAAACGTCTATTATACAGCCCCACCCCCAGGACAGATCAAAGGGAAAGGGGCTGTAGATGGAGAGGATGGAGGGTGGAATCGGGTGCAAGGGGTGGGAAGCGGTTCTGCAGGCTCTAGTGTTCCTGCAGATGGTCCTGGTCCACCCTGTCCCCAGCATTCCCACCTCCGGAAACAGCCCATCACTGTAAGATTGAATCCAAAAACCCAACTCCCAACACGGATAGAGCATCTCTTGCCTTTACTCCAAGGTTCATCAGGTTTCTAGGGCTGTAAACAACTGCTTTCCCTAATGCATTTAACATGTGATTTGATTTATAAGAAACTGACTTGACCACACAGTTCCAGGCAGAGTCTAGAGAAGCTGCACTCACTCTCTAGCTTATTTCCGGGAAGTTGGCTGCCGAGGACCCTGGAGGTGGGAGCGGGTGGAATTCCTAGGGAGCTGGCTGCTTCCCAGCTCCCCTCCACTGGGACCCCAGACACCAGGGCAACCAACCAGGAATGGGCCATGAATAGCAAGGTCCAGGTCTTAGGGGTCAAGGCAGAGGGAAAGATGAAGGACTGAGATAGGAGTCCCCCCGAGGTCTGCTCAAACCTGCCTAAGACCTTCCAGTGGCTCCCCACTGCCCTCAAGAGAAAACCCAGATTCATCAGTGAGGCCCTGCAGGAGCTGGTCTACCTTTCAGCCTCACCTTGCCCCATCTCCTCCTCTTTCAGTGCACTCCCTCCTTCCATTACACCCACACACCAAACCTCCAGGCCTCTGCATATGCCTTTCCCCCGGCCTGAGATACTCCACGCACACACATCCTTTATGAGGCGAACTCAGGCATCCTCTAAGTTTCAGCTCACATGTCATTTTCCCAAGAAGCCTTTCCTGAGCCCTCCATCTGGGTCGGATGCCACCCCTGTGAGCCTGTGCTCCATTGCCCCAGGCCCAGTCCTCCTGCCTCCTGCTCTTAGCCTAGGGCTCCTCGCTAGACTGCGGGCTCTGGGAGGGCAGAGGCCCTGTCCCTCTCATCATGGTCTCCCCAATGCTGTGCAGAAGTTGCTTGGTAAAGATGTGTTGAGTGAATGAATGGGAGAGTGCAGGCCTGCCTAGAAAGAGGCTTCCACCACCTGCTCTCAATTTCCTGTATGTGGGCGTGCATCGGTGCACATATGTCTGGGGATGGTGAGGGTGAAGTCACACCAAATATTCCTCCCCAAACTAAGAAGGGCTGACAAAAGCATCAGGGGATAATTCATAATGACTTCCTTTTGCTTTGGGACTAACTATGCTTGGCATTACCGAATGCTAGCGCAAGAGGTGTCCCCAGAAGATTCGGCCAGCAGGGAAGTACTTTATGTGTGCCACGCACTATGCTGATCAATTTCTACACCTATCTTGTTCTAGAAGGCAGGGACTTCTAGAATTGCCATTATCCTTGTCACACAGATGAAGAAACAAGTTCACAGAGTCTAAGCTATCTGCTCTGGGTCCCACACACTCAGGAAGTGGGGCAGCTGGGATGTGAACCTCCCAGAGCTTGAGGCTGAACCACAAGGCAGTCCACCTCCCCTCCACTGGTGCACCCTGAGGCCAAGGATAAGGTAAGGCAGGAGGTAGAGGACGGCCTTATCTGTTCCTGGACATCAGAATGGGAGGGCCTGATACAGACCCCTTGGCCCCACTCCTGCAGGTTAGAGATGCTCAGACATCCCCCAAGGTCATATAGCCTGGGTGGGTAACAGAGCTTTTCCAGCAGAAGGGAGCCAGGAGGAGGCTGCCTCCCCCAGGCCAGGAAGACCAAGTCAAGGCAAAAGTGGCTGGGATGTCCAGAGAATGAGCACCAGGTGCTTCTGCCTCAAGTCCCTCTGCTTCTTTCCTCTGTGGAGCTCTCTGCAGCTGCTCCCCAGAACACACAAATGCCCTTTCTGGCCTTTCCTGGTGCCCAAACCCCCTCCAGACCTGGGTCCAGCAGACACAGACGCACCTCTCCCAGGACCCTGGCTCCTGCTTGTCCTGCCCCAAACTCTGCAGGTGCAGCGGTGACAGGGCCCTGGTGCTAACTGGGCTGCATGCCTGCTCCCTGCCCCACATTTCTCCCCTTAAACAGACATGCAGAACTTTTCTTTCCAGCCTTTTGAAAGCCTGCTCAGGCGGACAAAAGACTGGGTGGGACAACGGGGCCTGGCATCCAAACAGGAGGGAGTGCAAACTGAAGCCTGCCTCTTGCTCTGCCCTCTCCAGCCAGCTTCACCCCAGCAACCCCAGGATTCAAAAAATAAATAAATAAATCCCAGCATGGTGGCTCATGCCTGTAATCCCAGCACTTTGGGAGGCTGAGGCAGGAGGATCACCTAAGGACAAGAGTTTGAGACCAGCGTGATCAACATGGTGGAACCCTATCTCTACTAAAAATACAAAATTAGCCAGGCGTGGTGGCACACGCCTGTAATCCCAGCTACTCTGGAGGCTGAGGCAGGAGAATCACTTGAACTAGGGAGGCAGAGGTTGAGGTGAGCCAAGATCATGCTATTGCATTCCAGCCTGGGCAACAAGAGCGAAACTCCATCTCAAAAAACAAAAACAGGAAAGGGTTCAGAGCAGGAAACATTCCACTCCATACGAAGAAGCATGCCCAGGCTCGGGCTGCCAGGGTCAGGGCCGGGACGCCCCTTCTGGGACTCTGAGCTTGCTGTTCCCTCTGCCCTGGCCGCTCTTCCCTGAGCTCTTTGCTGGCCTGTCCTTCTCTGTCCTTCAGGGCTTTTTGGGTGCCAGGTGCTGATGATGTTATTTAACCCTGATACCACCTCCTCCTGATTGATCCTGTTAGTTTTCCCACTGTACAGATGAGGAAACTGAGGTGACATGCCTTGCCAAGTCACACAGTGAGGAAGATAGGGGCAGGATTCAAACCCTGGCATGCCCCACTCCAAGGCACCCATTTTTCCCACAGACCCTCTGCTGCCTGAACCATCAGAACAGCCTCTGCCCCCCCCAATTCTATTGAAACTGCCTTGCAAAATTATAACTGAGGAAATTATGACAGGGAAAGAAATCAGACCTAACCGACTCCATCTTGCTTCTAACCCTTAAACTGTCCTTGCTCATTCCTGGGCATAGGCTGAACTAACTTTGGGAAAGGATTCAGTTCATGGTTTGTCTCTGAAACAAAATTGATAACAGCCCCTCCCTGAAAAGATCCCCTTCTTGCCTGGGGACCAGTATGTCTTTGCAGAACTAACAAATTAGCTATAAGATCAAAAATTACAGTGTAGGGGTCATGCAGCCTCTGGCTCTAAGAGTCTGAACCTCCCCAGATTGCTCCTGAGGGTAACATCACTATTGTGAAACCTAAGATCAGTGCTTGAGATATTTTGTAGACCCTGCATCAGCTGACACCACCCAGACCAGTAACCTGGCTCAATCGGTTCTGCCATTGAACCCAGCAACAGGAGATAGCAAGAAAAACTCACTTCGACCCCATGACTCCATCTCGAACCTGACCAGTCAGCACTCCCCACTTCCCAAGCTTCTACCTGCCAAATTATCTTGAAAAACTCTGATACCCAAATGTTCAGGCAGACTGATTTGAGTAATAACAAGAGTCCAGTCTCCTGCAGAGTTGGCTCTGTGTGAATTAGTCTTTCTCCACTTCAATTCCCCTGTCTTGATAAATCAGTTCTGTCTAGGCAGCGGGCAAGGTGAACCTACTGGGCGGTTATACTATCTTTTCCACCACCTCCTAGAAGCCAACTGCCACCTCCCTGGTGACCAGGTGCCTCCCTCCCCTAGCTGGTCCCAATGGTCCCCTTAGGCATAGGACCAGGTCCCTTTCCCTGGGGGAGGAGCCTCTGACTGAGCCTCGTACAGCTCATATCCCGAAGCCGGCACTGACTTCATCCATTCACAGGCACTGGACCAGGTGCAGAGAGAAGGATGTGAACTAGACGTTGCCAACCGTCATCAGGGTCAGCTGGGGACAGGCAGAGAAGGCAAGACAACTGCTTCAGATAGGTGGTCAAGGAAGGCTGCTTGGGGGAGGGGGTCCTGAGGGAGGGCTCTGCAGAGTCCAGGAAGGCATGGGCAGGTCCTGGTGGAAATGGGGAGGCAGGCAAGATGACCACTGGTGACCCCATCACTGGCATCAGGGCCTGCCTGGGAGTCAGCCTGTAGCTGGGGGCAGGAGAAGGGAAGGAGCCCAGGGTTGCAGGTGCCCAGGATGGCTGCTCACCATATATTCCAGATGCCACGCAGCTGCCGTGGCAGCCTGAGGCCAGGCCAGTGAGGCTCTGGCCTTGTTACTGAGTGTAGGGCCAGGGCCAGGGCCAGACAGTTCTGCAGCCCTCAGTGTGAGGCAGGAGCTGCTTTGATTGGAACTTGGTGGCTCAAAAGGGTCAGTGTTAGGGCCTCAGGGATCACCGCCTCCAGTTTTCCATCTTGTAATTCTTGTAGGAGTTACCGGTGCCCCGCCCTGGGGAGACATCTCCCATTGACCACAGCCCTGCTTCCCGCTTAGCATGAATGGATTTGCTTTCCTGTCTGTGCTCCAGGAAGCCAGGACCAATCAAGTCAAGCTTGACCCAACCCTCTTCCAATATGTGAAGGTAAACTGAGGCCCAGAGAGAAGCAGGATGTCCAGTAGGATTAAAAGCAAAGAGAAGGCAGAATATCATGCTCCCCAGCCCAGAGGACGTGAATAGTTCCTGGCATGCCTGGCTTGCAGCTGCCTACTCACCGTGGCTGTCTGCTGCTGTGTGGCCTGGGCCGCAAACCGGGCCACATGGTTGACGATGGGGGAGAAATTGGTGGGACCGTAGAAGCGGATATGGGGCAGGCAAGCTGAGTACGCCCGGGCAATACCGTCCACACCTGCCTCGGGAGAAGAGTCTGGATCAGCCCAGTCTCCCTGACCCCACACTCACTCTCACCCCACTGCTGATGAAGCATCTATTTCATGCTTCCCCAAAATGTTCCTGCCATGGCTAGCATAGGCCTCGCGAGACTGGAAGCTCCCAGAGGGCAGGGCCAGCATGGTAAAAAGCCAAGGCCTCTGAATGTGAAGTCAGACCCACCTGAGGAGTTTGAATCCTGCCCTCTTTTTGGGATGGAGTCTCCCTCTGTCATCCAGGCTGGAGTACAGTGACAGGATCTCCGATCACTGCAACCTCCACCTCCCAGGTTCAAGCAATTCTCCTGCCTCAGCCTCCCAAGTAGTTGGGACTACAAGCGTGTGCTACCACACCCAGCTAATTTTTTGTATTTTTAGTAGAGACAGGGTTTCACCATGCTGGCTAGGTTGGTCTCAAACTCCTGACCTCAGGTGGTCTGCCCACCTTGGCCTCCCAAAGTACTGGGATTATAGGCGTGAGCCACTGTGCCTCACTTGAATCCTACCTTTCTTAGCTGTGAGACCTGGGGCAAGTTGTTTAATCTTTCTGAGGCTACATCCTTGTCTGTCAATGGGACTGATAATCTACACTCTCTGGCAGTTGGGAGGCTGGGGGTCTCTCAGGCCTTCCCAGAGAATAGGCTTCATGAAGTTTGCAGTGATGCTTTGAGACCAGGGGAAAGCCATCTGGAGGTCCATTCTGGACATGCTATGGCTTCTGCTCAGGTTGGGGAATCGAGGCGTCTGCACAGTGCCTGTACAGAGTCACTGCTCTGTAAACAGCTGCTGTTATGAGCACACTGCCCTGTGGCCCTGTCTAGAAGGCCTCTGGCCAGGGGTGAAATGGACCAACCAAAATGTTTCTGGAGATGTCCCCTGGTCCGGAGCCAGCCAGGGCAGATCAGACAGCCTGGCCCAGCTTTGAGGATCCCCAGGGAAGGTAGATGCCATGTTGAAGCCAAGTCCTAGGCTGAAAGGTCTAATGATGGTAGAAACAGCCCTCTTCCACACCCACCTGCATCCCCTCTCCTCCTCTCATAGTTTTCTTCTCCCTCCCTCCGTCCATCCCTCCCTTCCTTCTTCCTTCTTTCTCTCTTTTCTATCTCCTTCCTTCCTTTCTCCCTCCCTCCCTCCTTCCATTCCTTTCCTTCCCTCCCTCTCTCCCTTCCTCCCTCCCTCCCTCCCTTCCTTCTTTCTCTCTTGAGACAGTCTCACCCTGTCACCCAGGCTGGAGTGCAGTGGTGCAATCTCGCTCACTACAACCTCTGCTGCCCAGGTTCAAGTGATTCTCCTGCCTCAGTTTCCCAAGTAGCTGGGATTACAGGCACCTGCTACTGTAGCCAGCTAATTTTTGTAGTTTTAGTAGAGATAGGATTTCACTATCTTGGGCAGGCTGGTCTTGAACTCCTGACCTCTGATCCACTCCCCTCGGCCTCCCAAAGAGCCGGGATTACAGGCATGAGCCACGGCACCCAGCCTCTAATAGTTTCTTGACTGTCCCTAGGAGGCCCAGAAATCCTCCTAGGCCCAGGGGTGGTGTGAACACAGACACACACTCACTACCCAGCCCCTGCCTCTTCCTGATCCCCTGCCAAGCAATTGGAGAGCAGGGCCGGCCTTCCCAGCAAGGGAGGAGTGGGAAGGAGGTGTGCCTGGTGCACCCTCACCTCCTCCTGGGTTCCACAGGGCTTCCTGTCAATGGCTTCCTGTAATTCTCGCCCAACCACCCAGTAAAGTAAGAACAGCAGCTGTCATCGTTATCCTGGAGCAGGTAAGAAGGCAAAGGCCTAAGAGGTACAGTGACCTTTCCAAGGTCCCACAGCTAGGAAGGGCAGCAGCTGGCCTTGAATCCAGTACTGTCCAAACTGCAGCATTTCCCCCTCTTGTCACTCTAAGCAACAGTGAGGGGGAGAGGATAGGAGAAAGAAATGAAAACCTGTCCTCTGCCCTCCCTCCACCCAGGGATCTGGTCGGGCCTGCCACAAACAAAGGGCACCTGCAGGTAGGTGGGTCTGACACTCACCTGAGCAGAAGGGGTTGGTGGGGTTGAAGTTGATGGCAAACTCATGGGAGACCTGAAACAGAGAGAAAACGCTGAGCTGCAGCCTCCTGCCCCCAAACCCGGGGCCCCAAATCCACTGCCAGGCCAAGGCTCCCTGAGAGCACCTGGCTCATAACCCCCACCCCTACCCTCATCTAGGCCACTGACACCCCCCACAACTACTTTCACCTCCACTGCTGGGTGTGACCCACAGAGAAGCCCAACCACCTCTCTCAAGAGTCCTGGGTGGGACAGGGATTTCCCTGTGGGCCAGGGTTCCAGGATGCTCCCTCATCACTGCTACTGCTGGGTGTGGGCTCCATTAGAGCACCACTTCTCTGGGCTTCAGAGGCTTTTACTACCTTAACAGTAAGCAAAGGGGCTTGGAGAGGAGCCTGCCTTGTGCCAGATAGCCAAACTGGGGTGAGCTGACAGCCCGCTCAGAGCTGACCCGGCGATCAGGGGTGTAACGGGGCTGCAAGGGGGTCAGATGGGGCTGTCACAAGACCCCTAGGGACTGATCCTGCTTCTCTGCCTCCAGGCCCAGCACCCAGCCCTGGAGGATCATCAGAGGCTGACCCAGACACTCTGGGACACTGCTGTACCCATGACATCTGGCTGCTGCTGCTCGCATGGCTTTGGGGTAAGGGGCGTTCAGGGCTGTGGGTGAGACTGCAGTGCATGCAGAACCCAGGGTCTCAGGAGAGGCTGGAGAGCTCAGATTGGGGACAGCCCCTCTTCTCTTCCCTCCCCTGCAGCTCCACAGCCCCAAATACCCCCCAGCCCCCTTCTTACCACATGCCACATCCACGTTCAGTGCTGTGCAGGGGTCCCCTCACTCCCTCCTCAAAACACCCCAATGGAAGGGCAGCTGTTACCACCTCATCTTATGGATGACAAAACTGAGAAAAAGAGTGGACTAGAATTTGTCCATATTTTCTGGAGGGCAGAGATGGTACTGGAACTGAGGTCAGGCTGCCCCCAGAGATCACACTAACCTCTGAAGGCATTCCTCCCCCAGGAATTTTCAATGAGGAGGGCAAAGCAACCCCATCCCCTGTCCTCAGCTGCAGAGGATGGCTTTTGTCTGGGCACAGACAATCCCAGACAGACCCTTCAGCTCCAAGACACAGTGACGGAGGGTGCTGAGAGGCTCTCCTAAATCCGGTGTCCCCATTTTACAAATAAACAAACAAAGACCCAGAGAAGGGAAGCCAGGCGCCAGAGCTACACAGTAGAACAGGTGTCTGACTCAGTGCCCTGAAGCCTCTCCTGGGGTGGGAGTTGGCCTTACTCCTGGTGGAGAGGGCAGGGACGCAGCAGTGGGGTTCACTCCAGCCTCCCTGGCAGTCCTGGGGTGGGGAGGCAATGGAAGGACTCCTCCCTGTTTCAGGGAATGGAGCTTTCTGTTCGTTTTTTGTGCTGTCCACTTTAGGTGCCCAACACAGAGCCCGTGCCCTGGTGTTCCTCTTGGGTCCTGTCCCTGTCCAGGGCCCCTTTCACCCTGTCCCAAATCTGGGCTCCAGGTTTGGGGGCTGGAGGTCCCTGTTGCCATGGAGACTTCCTGAGCCTTTTCAGAGATTACAAGAGGGTCTTGTATGGAGGGGCTGAGAGAGAAAATGGTTGCCAGGGAAACAGGCCTTCCTTGGGCCAATGACTTCTCAAAAAATCAGATTTTGGGAGATTTTAGAGACCACATGGGAAAGCCTCCTGCTGACAGGGGTGAGGAATATTTTGGCTTCTCGGGCGCCCCACTCTTCATCCCCACTATGTCCCCCTCTTTATTTGGAGGCGGGCCTGGCCTCGTGGTCAGGGGCCTGTGGGAGGTTGTCCATCCCCGCCAGAGGCCCCATAGGTTGCCTCCTCTGGCAGCTCTATTTCATAGCTGGAAAGAATGCAGTTCTGAGAGGGCCAGGGAGTGCCCGGGTCATAAAGTGGGACCTGGGGACAAGTGTCCATGCTGCCAGCAGTGGCAGCCCAGCCCCACCCACACTGGCCGCCCTGGTTTACCTGAGAAACGTCATAAACAGGACAAGTTCCTGGAGGCCACAGAAGCTGATGAGGGTCCCCTGGGGACTGGCTGCCGGCCACAGGCCTTTGTCCTGGGACTCCCTGTTGCCTTCTGACAGCCAATGGCCCTGTTTACCCAACCTGGCCTGGCTCAGCCCTGTGGTCAGGGAGCAACTTCAGACTCTGTTCTCTGTGGCCGTGGCTGAGGCAGGCGGGGGAGGCAGGTGGGGTGGGACATGGAGAAAGTCCCAGGGATCTCAGAGTGACTGTCCTCTTTGAGCGTCAGTTTTCCCACCTGCAAAGTGTGCCACTTCCCCTAGACCTTTGCACAGACTGTGCCTTCTGCCCAGATCCTGTGACTCTGCTCACTTTGAAGGGCCAAGGCCTGATGCCATCTCCAAAGGGAAACACGTTCTGAGCTCCTCAGCCACTCTTTGGGGCAGGAGTCCTCTCTGGGCTCATCTGGGCCAGCCTCAGAGAGAAACTGAGCCTGGTTGCATACTCCTTCTGGCTCCTTCCAGCTCCCTACCCTCAGAAAACCAACGCTTCTGTTTGCTCAGGCCACTGGGCTGGGTCCCACATTCCCTCTGTCAACAAACAACAGCATTGCCCACTGCCAGGCAGCTGCTGGGACGCGGACAGAAGCAAACCCGGCGCCTTCGCCAGGCAATCACAAACAAGTGACAGAGTTCCATGAGGGCAGGGCTCTGGGCAGGAAGCAGGGCCCCATGTGAGCATGAGCATGAGCATGGCTCCCAGAGGGCAGCCACTCCCCAAAATTCTAGCTGAAAATTGGTGGCAGAAGCCCAGGAGAGGGAGCAGCAGGCTGGGTGAAGGCCATGTGCAAAGGCCCTGAGGTGGGAGTGAATGAAGGAGCTTCAGGAGGCAGGAGTGAGGTGAGTCAGAATGAGAGAGAGGGTGAGGGGCCAGGAGGGGCCCAGCCTGGTGGCTCTCAAGGCAGGAGGAAGCAGGAAACAGCATCTGTCGTTTTCTAGCCTGGATGCAGCATCTGTCTTGGCACAGCCAGGCACTGCAGCCTGGCCAAGCCCCAGCCTCCCCAGCGTTGCCCTGTGACATTTACAAGGAGGCTTTTGCTCAAGAAAACATCTCATTCAGTTCTTTGAAAGCTGGCTGGTGTCCTAGCAACCGGCTCATGCTGGGCCCAGCCGCACCAGCTCACCCTGCCCCCCGAATGGCATCGCTGTGGCCCAGCTTTGGTCCTATCTGAGGTGTGGCCTCACACCACAGGGAGCCAGGACACCCACCTCTCCTGCCCTGGCCCTCAGGCCACTCCCTGAAATTCTAGGTGAAAATCATCCTCCCCAGAGAGGACCCGGGAGGGCGGGAGGCAAAAGCTCATTCTGGAAACAGCATGAAGCACAGGAGGGCAGACAAGAAGGGGCACTGGGCCAGGCGCAGTGGCTCACACCTGTAATCCCAGCACTTTGGGAGGCTGAGGTGGGCAGATCACAAGGTCAAGAGATCGAGACCATTTTGGCCAACATGGTGAAACTCCGTCTCTATTAAAAATACAAAAATCGGCCGGGCGCAGTGGCTCAAGCCTGTAATCCCAGCACTTTGGGAGGCCGAGGCAGGTGGATCACGAGGTCAACAGATCGAGACCCTCCTGGTCAACATGGTGAAACCCCGTCTCTACTAAAAATTACAAAAAATTAGCTGGGCACGGTGGCGCGTGCCTGTAATCCCAGCTACTCAGGAGGCTGAGGCAGGAGAATTGCCTGAACCCAGGGGGCGGAGGTTGCAGTGAGCCGAGATTGCACCATTGCACTCCAGCCTGGGTAACAAGAGTGAAACTCCGTCTCAAAAAAAAAAAAAAAAAATACAAAAATCAGCTGGGCCTGGTGGTACACGCCTGTAGTCTCAGCTACTCTGGAGGCTGAGGCGGGAGGATTGCTTGAACCTGAGAGGCGGAGGTTGCAGTGAGCTGAGATCACGACACTGCACTCCAGCCTGGGTGACAGAGTGAGACTCTGTTTCAAAAAATAAAGAAAGAAAGAAGGGGCACTAGCCGAGACCCATGCGCAGACTTAGGAGCTCTCTGGACTCACACCCCACAGGCTTCTCTCATGGGGAATCAACAGACTGAGAGGAAATTTTAGAGTCCTGCCCAGTTGGTGAACATGGCCTTGGGCAAGCCACTTTGAGACTCCAAGCCTTGGTTTATTCTCCTGTAAATGGGACAGCATTCCGTGCCCATCCTCAGCGACTCCCCAGCATTACGGCTTCTGCCCTCATTGACATCTCCATCTCTGAGCCACCAAACCGACCCTCCCCTGGTGCCCATGATTCTAGGAGGAGCCCCCGTCTCCTGCCCCAGGACTACCCACAACCATGTTTCAGGGACAGCCCCCCCCATTCACCTCCACCCTCTCCTGGCTCCTTCTCAGCCTTTAGACCTGCTCAACCTGCCCCTTTCCCTCACTCACAGCCCGCTGACTTCCACATTAGCTGACAGCTCCATGCCCGTCTCCACGCGAACCGTTCCCTCCCCGTCTAGTCTCTGTCACAATGGCCTCGGCCGCGGTCAGTGAAGCCATGGTCTCTTCTCAGCTTTACCTCACCAGGCCCAGGGGCAGCCTCCAACCCCACTCCCTCCTCCCCCAGCCCCAACTGCTTGGCTTCCTCAACGATCAAAATGGGTTCACAACAGGGCCTCCCTCATTAGCTTTGGTGAGAATTAGTTGAAACTGGTAAAACAGGCAGATGGTGTCCAGAACATTGCAAGGGCCCAATAAATGCTGCTACATATAGGCTTGCTTTCTGTGGGCTTCACCTGCCCCTCTCCTTTGCTTCTTCCCACCTCTGCCCCTTCTGGCTCAGCCTCCGCTTCCCCTGCCTGGCTCTCTCATGCAGCTGTTTCTTTATTTTATTTAATTAATTAATTTTTTTTTTTTTAGAGATGGGGTCTTGCTCTGTCACCCAGGCTAAGTGCAGTGCACTCATAGCTCACTTGGCTCCAGGGATCTTTCTGACTCAACCTCCCGAGTAGCTGGGACTACAGGTGCACACCACCACCCCTGGCTAATTTTTGTATTTTTAGTAGAGATGGAGTTTCGCCACGTAGGCCAGGCTGGTCTCAAACTCTTGACCTCATGATCTACCCACCTTGGCCTCCTAAAGTGCTGAGATTATAAGCATGAGCCACTGCACCCAGGCAACTTTTTAAATTTTGTAGAGACAGGGTCTCACTATGTTGCCCAGACTGGTCTTGAACTCCTGGCTCAAGCAATCCTCCTGTCTTGGCCTCCCAAAGCATGAAATTACAGGGTGAGCCACTGCACCCTGCCTCATGTGGCTGTTTCTCACTCATTCCGTCTCCTCAGCAATCTCATCCTCCCAGAGGTGCCACCACAGGGCCTGGCCCAGGTGGCCAGGTCTCTCTGTGTCCAGAGCCTGAACCCATTGACTCATCATTCGCCTTTCTTTTCTTTTTGATTCAGGTTCTTGCTCTTTGCTCAGGCTGGAGTGCAGTGTCACAATCTCGGCTCACTGCAATCTCTGCCTCCCAAGTTTAAGTGATTCTCCTACCTCAGCCTCCCAAGTAGCTGGGATTATGGGCATGCACTACCACACTGGGCTAATTTTTATATTTTTAATAGAGACAGGGTTTCACCATGTTGGCCAGGCTGATCTCAAACTCTCTGACCTCAAATGATCCCTCTGCATCGGCCTCCCAAAGTGCTGGCATTACATGCCTGAGCCACTCATCCACCATTCTCCTGGGACTCCCACCTCACTGTCTCCCCTGCCCAGCTGAGCACCTACCCCATTCTCATCTCAGTAAGCAGCACTACCCCCACCTCAGTGCCCAGTTGGAAATATTGGTGACCTCTTCGGCCCACACTGACTTGGCCACCAGATGGTCCTGGCCTCTGCCCGAGTCTCCTTGCCTTTGCTCCTTCTCTCCACCCTCCATGCTGCCCACTCTCACCCTAGCCATTCCCCACTCAGCAGCCAGGGTAGGCCTTCAGAAATGCCAATCTGCTGATGAGCCAGCCCCTATGTGGCCCCTGCAGGGGTCCCGGTGGCCCTTTAATACCCACATGGAAGGTCTAGTCACCCACCTCTGCCAGCTCCTCCAGCTGATCCTGCAGCCTTCGCACAGGCTGTTCGGTGGGGAAGCTGCCCCTGCCCCACTGCCACCCCTAGGCACTCTCCTACTTCCCTTTTCCCTCCTGGCTTATAGCTTGCACCCTCCAGGAAGCCTGATGGTCCCAAGCTGGGTTGGGTTCCCTCCTCAGCTACCGCAGGCCCACGCTGCCCCCACCTCCGCACTGATGACACTGCTTGTCTTCAGTGTTGCCAGATAGAATACAGGATGCCCAGTATAACTCAGAAACAGAAAACAAAAAACTGCATGTTCTCCCTTACACGAGGAGCCAAACAATGGGTGTGCACAGAACGGACACAGAGGGGAATAACAGACGCTGGGACTCCACACAGAGGGCGGGTGGAGGGTGACAGAAAATGCTACCTACTGTATACAATGTGCACTATTTGGGTGATAGATACACTTAAAATCCGTATTTCACACAGTACATCCTTGGAACACAACTATCCTCATACCCCTAGATCCATACAAATACAAAATTTTATTTTTCAAAAAGGACCTTGAATTTCAGATAAACAATGGATGATTTAAGTGTAACTATGTCCCATGCAATATTCAGGACATACTTATACTTTAAAAATTGTTTATCTGGGCCAGGCACAGTGGCTCATACCTGTAATCCCAGCACTTTGGGAGGCCGAGGTGGGCAGATCACCAGGTCAAGAGACAGAGACTATCCTGGCTAACATGGTGAAACCCCATCTCTACTAAAAATACAAAAATTAGCTGAGTGTGGTGGCATGCACCTGCAGTCCTAGCTGCTCAGGAGGCTAAGGCAGGAGAGTCACTTGAACCCAGGAGGCAGAGGTTACAGTGAGCCAAGATTGTGCCACTGCACTCCAGCCTGACGACAGAGCAAGACTTTGTCTCAAAACAAACAAACAAACCCATCTCGACTAAAAATACAAAAATCAGCTGGGCGTGGTGACGCACGCCTTTAATCCCAGCTACCTGGGAGGCTGAGGCAGGAGAATTGTTTGAACCTGGGAGGTGGAGGTTGCTCTGAGCCGAGATCATGCCACTGCATCCAGCCTGGGCAACAGAGCAAGACTCTATCTCAAAATAAATAAATAAATAAAATAAAAATTGTTTATCTGAAATTCTAACTTAACTGTGTATCTTGTATTTTGATTTGCGATCTCTGGCAATCCTATCTGTCTTCCCCACTCCATGTGGGTCTCAGGAGCAGAGAACACAACTGTGCTGCCCCGTTACAGCTTCAGTGCCTGCCCAAGGATCATCCTTGAGAAATGAGCGTGGCCTGGGGTGAACACAGGGAAGGCAGGGCAACAGAGCCCCAACCCAAGACCTTTCGAGAGCAGATCCTAGAGAGGCCGTATACACAAACCCCATCTCAACCAAAAGGAAATTGATTCTGGCTTCACTCACCTTCCAGTCTGGGGGTAACTGGGCCCCGAATCCCAGAGCTGGAAACATCTTATCACTAATCAGAGAGAGAAGAGAAACACACTGTGAGACACCTGAAGATACCACCAGACCCTCTGCCCAGGGCTGGGCCTGCTCTGCCTCGTATACTTCCAAGGACAGAAAGGAGGCGCTTACCACCTCTAGAAAGAGCTGTTAGGATCATCTACCTCATGAGCCCAAGGCATCTCTGGGGACCTGGTGAACATTTGGCCTGACTACATCTATACCTGTGGCAGACACAATGGTAATTCTTTTTTTTTTTGAGACTGAGTCTTGCTCTATCACCAGGCTGGAGTGCAGTGGCACGATCTCAGATCACTGCAACCTCCATCCCCCAAGTTCAAGCAATTCCACAGCCTCAGCCTCCTGAGTAGCTGGGACTACAGGTATGTACCACTAAGCCTGGCTAATTTTTTGTATTTTAATAGAGATGGGGTTTTACCACGTTGGCCAGGATGGTCTTGATCTCCTGATCTTGTGATCTACTCACCTTAGCCTCCCAAAGTGCTGGGATTACTGGCGTAAGCCACGGCACCTGGCCTCTTTTTTTTTTTTTTTTTTTTGAGACGGAGTTTCACTCTTGTTGCCCAGGTTGGAGTGCAGTGGCATGATCTCAGCTCATTGAAACCTCTGCCTCCCAGGTTCAAGCGATTCTCCTGCCTCAGCCTCCTGAGTAGCTGGGATTACAGGTGCCTGCCACCACCCCTGGCTAATTTTGTATTTTTAGTAGAGACAGAGTTTCTTCATGCTGGTCAGGCTGGTCTAGAACTTCTGACCTCAGGTGATCCACCCGCCTCGGCCTCCCAAAGTGCTGGGATTACAGGTGTGAGCCACCGCGCCCAGCCCAACAATGGTACTTCTCACCAATGGGCCTGGCCGCAGCTTCTAGATCCTTCTCAAACTGAGACCCCAGCCAGCCACTAAACCAAGGTCAAGATGGAAGTAGAAGGAATTTACTGGCTGTCTCTCAACCTCCTGCTCATAGCTGGGGAAAACTCTCCTAATATGAGAACCCTCCTGTGGCATTCAAGGTCATCATCATCCAGCCCCAGAGCCTCGTCTCATCTCCTTCCGCCTGCTCCCCTTCACACCCTACTCCCTTAGTCCTGGCCAGTAGCCACTTGCTGTTCCCCAAACACACAGGGTACCTTCACATTCCAAATTCAATGTTGTTGTGCCCCCATTTTTAACATCTCTCCCTAATCTGTTTCCTCTAGCAAACTCCTACTCATCTTCTAAGGCCCAATCCAAATGGCCCCTTCTCTCTGTTGATTTCCCTGATGCCCTACAATGCCTCTCTTTTTGTGCTCCCATAGTTCCTGCTTCACATGTAAACTGGTCTCTCAGAAGTCCAATGATGTCTTCCTTATCTTTCTCTTTGAGAACTTCCTGAAGACAGGGACCATGTTCAGCAATTGATTAGCCATGTCTGTCATGAGTATGGGAATGGGTAATAACTGGACCTATGCCATTTGCTGTCCATTCCTAGATTTGATGATCTCTGGGTCCCTTCTAGCTTTGGCACACTGAGCTTCCCAGGTTGAACGGAACCCTAGCTGACCGTCAGAGCCCCTCTCCAACCTTACCTGTCATAGTCCTGAATGATCTGCCCAACAGCCCAGATGGCCGACAGATATTCATTGGTGCCCATAGGGTTGATATAGTGCAAAGAGGAAGGGTCAAGGGGATTCCCGTTGGAGGCTGTAAAGTCGATTCCAACCTGCAGAGTGGAGGAAAAGGTTACCCAGTGTGGCCAGAGACCCCAGCACCCTATCCCACTCCCAGGGAATAGGAGAGGTAGATGGGACATGGGAAGCCCACTCATCTCCCAGCCCTCCCCACAATAAGATGGTCTGAAACCTAGAACCTGTCTGATTGTATCACTCCTCTGCTCTAATAGGAGCCATCTGTGGCTCCCTATTGCCCAAGCATAAAGTCCATTGCCTAGATGGGATGACATAAGGCTAACTTACAGTCCCAGATTCCTTTTCGTCCTTGCTATCCTTACCCACACATTCATCCATTCCCACAGGCAGGCATTTATTCATGAGCTTCCCTCTGCATGCAGAGCCAGGGCATCATCTCTCCCCATCTAACTCTGCTCCATCTTCCATGCCTAACTCAGATGCTGCTGCTCCACTACAATCTTCCCAGATACCTCACCCCCAACCCAAGCCATCTCCCCATCATCCCTCAGACCACCAAGGGACCTGGGACCTGGGGCTGCCTGGTAGAACAGTGCCCATTTCCCTGATCAGCTGGGAGCTCACCACAGGTGAGGCACAAGCTCTGGAGGAGCTTGGCCCAGGGCTGGGAACAGCAGACAAGGCAGGTGCTTAACAGAGACTCAGGGCTGATGGGTGGGCAGGGATTGGGGCTCTACTTGCTCTCTCAGCTCCAGGGAATCCCAGCCCAGTCCCTGGAGAAGCAGCACAGAGGGGTGGGCAACAGTAGCCTCTGCCCAGCAGGGAAGGGTTAGAAGTAGGACCCAGGGGAAGATGTGGCTACATGGGAACTCAGTTGCTCTGGGGTAGGAGAGAAAGGGTCACCCATCCAAATCCTCGTGTGGCTAGAGGGTCACTCCTCTAGGTCAGGGGCAGCATGAGTCTTACTCTTCGAGTCTTAGTCCTCGAGGGACCCTTGCAGGGACACAGCCTAGAGCCTGGGAGCCTGGCACAAAGGAGGCAGTCAGCATGCATCTGCTGAATGAACAAATGCATGCAGAAGGAAGAGGAGGGCCTGGACTCTCTGCAGGGGAGGGGACAGCAGTGGGAAGCAGGGTCAGAGGTCAGTAAGGCCAATCCTCTGACTCCATGGTGTCCTGCGATGCCCTCCATTCCCCACTGGGACTTAGGGGTGGTGATGGGGAGTGGTGTGACAACATGGGGAGGTTGGCAGAGCAGGGCAACCCAGCAGCTTCCTTTCTGCTGGGCCTGAGGCTCCCTTGGGGTAGGCAACCAAAGCCAGGATGAATGGCACAGAGTCTGGAGGGCCAAGACTCCAGGCCACAGGCAAGGTGACAGTTTATTCTTCCAACAAGAAATGATCGAGCACCTGCTGTGTGCCAGGTACTGTGTGATATACTGGGGTTGGAGTGGAAGCAAAATGAACAAAGCGCCCAAACTTAAAGCACTCACACCCCAGTGGGTGCGACGATCCGGGAGAAGCAACAAATGCAAAAGAATCTCGGGCCAGCAAGTGCCCAGAAGATATGAAAATAGGGAGGGCCTGGCCTGGGGGTTCAGGCCTGTAATCCCAGCACTTTGGTAGGCCAAGGTGGGTAGATCAATTGAGCCCAGGAGTTTGAGACCAGCCCGGGCAACATGGCAAAACCCCATCTCTACCCAAAATGCAAAAATTAGCTGGGCTTGATGGCATACACATGGAATCCCAGCTGCTCAGGAGGGTGAGGTGGGAGGATCAATTGAGCCCTGAAGGTAGAGGGTGCAGTGAGCTGAGATTGCACCATGGCACTCTAGACAAAATGACAGAATGAAACGCTGTCTTAAAAAAAAAAAAAAAAAAAAAAAAAGAAAGGAAAAGAAAGAAAATCGGAAGCTATGGCCAGGCGCTGGTGGCTCACGCCTGTAATCCCAGCACTTTGGAAGGCTGAGGTGGGCAGATCACCAGGTCTAGAGATCAAAACCATCCTGGCCAACATGGTGAAATCCCATCTCTACTAAAAATATAAACATTAGCTGGGTGTGGTGGCGCACACGTGTAGTCCCAGCTACTCAGGAGGCTGAGGCAGGAAACTCACTTGAACCAGGGAGGCAGAGGTTGCAGTGAGTGGAAATTGCACCACTGCACTCCAGCCTGGCGACAGAGTGAGACTCAATCAGAAACAGAGAGCTAGAGCGAGAGAGAGAGAGAGAGAAGGAAGAATGAAAGAGAGAGAGAGAGAAAGAAAAAGAAGGAAAGAAAGAAAGACAGAGAGAGAGAGAAAAAATAGGACAGAGGAACAGGAAGGTGTTGAGGGAGGGAGGGCTCCCTGGAAGGTGACCTCTGTTACCTCCTCAGGCCTGAAGAATGGCAGGGAGGCAGCCATGCGAAGGTTCTGGGGAAGAGTGTTTCAGACAGAGGGAATAGCAAATGCAGAAGGAACAGCAAATGCGGAAAAGTTCTAAGATGGAGCCGAGCTTGGTGTGTTGGGCAAACAGAGGAACAGTGTGGTTAGAGCCCAGTGAGCGAGGAGGAAGGAGAATGCAGATGAGGGAGGCAGGGGCCAGATCGCTGAAGGCCTTGTGGCCAGTGAGGAGGAATTTGTATTTTTCCAGCAGACTGAGAGCTGTGGGGCTATGCTCTGTCCATTAGCTAAGCCCCAACTCAGGCCCATCCAGCAGGACCGGACATACCACTCATGCCCTCTCTACTGGGCCAGACACATCCTTTGTCTCAGGGAAGTCCTTCCTGGAGTCTATCCCAAGTCCCTCTGGCTGCAGCAGTGGCCTAAGTCCTCAGGGAAGACCCTCACTGGGATGGGGGTGCAGAGGGGGCCAGCGGGGAGAGCCTTACGGTGAACATGAGCTGGCAGCCTCCCAGGATGTAGTCTAGGAAGGAGTAGTCTCGATTTATCTGGAAGAAAGCGGATGAGTCAGTGGGTCCGCTTGACTTGGTCACACTCCCATGGGGGAGTTGTTGCTCTATGTCTTGAAGCCTCAGTAGGGACAAGGAGGTCAAAAAAAGCTGACGGGCCTGATCTAATTATAACAAAACCCAAATGTCTCTAGAAAGAAGCCTTCAGTGCATCGGTTCCCAATGGGTGGGGGACTTACAGAGACCCCTGCAGCCCCCCAGATACACAGACACATGCTGATTCCAGCCAGGGTCCCAGGGCCCAGCGTCGGTTACCTGACAGTTAGGTACTAACAGCACTTACCTTCTCTTGGCCCTTATTAATCTACCTTTTTAACAAAGAGAAAGAGCAGGCCTCCAGTTCAAGGCCTTCCTCTAGAAGTTGATCAAGCTGTTAAAAGACTGAATTTGTTCTGATGGTCTTTGTCTCCTTTTGGCAAAGAAGCAGACATTTTAATTTTGGTGGCGTTCTAAGAATTACTTTCTAAATAAATGTATTTAAGTTAAAAAAAAAAGAGAGAGAGAGAGAGAGAAAAGAAAGAAAGAAACAGACCAGCTGTAGTGGCTCATGCCTGTAATCCCAGCAGTTTGGGAGGCTAAGGTGGGCAGATCACTTGAGGTCAGGAGTTCAAGACCAGCCTGGTCAACACGGTGAAACCTTATCTCTACTAAAAATACAAACAGTAGCTGGATGTGGTGGAATGCACTTGTCATCCCAGCTACTCAGGAGGCTGAGGCAGAACTGCTTGAACCCGGAAGGCGGAGGTTGCAGTGAGCTGAAATTGCACCACTGCACACCAGCCTGAGCAACAGAGTGAGACTCCCTCTCAAAAAACAAACGAACAAAAAAGAAACAATAATGCAGGGAAGAAAGGCTGATTCAAAAAAATAAGTAAGGCAGGTGCCGGAAATTGTGAAAAGTGTTGTGAGTGTTGGAAATTTCAGAAACAAGGACCATCCATTGCAAGGCTGAAACCTGACAGCCTGATCTTTTACAGAGCACTTTCTGTTGTGACATCACGAGCGTTTGTGTAAACCCAGCCAGACGAGGCTCCAAATAAGGTTCAGGCCTAGAGTCCATCCGCTGGTGGAGAGCAGCGCTGGGACTCCTGAGCTGTCGGCGGTAGCCCAGGGCTCCTGTTCCACTGCCCTGTGCTGCCTTCCTTAATGTCCTGCCAGATCCAGCAGTTATTTGGCCACCAGGTCTCCTGGCCCCTGCCCACAGCCCAGCCACTGCTGATAGGAACTTCATGAGTTCAGGTCCTGGGCAGCAGTGCTCTGGGGTTATGTCAGCCCAATAGGGACAGGTGACAAAATGGAGACCCACAGCCACACTTCCAGAGGCCTCAGTGGTCCTGGCTATACCATGGGAGTCACAGTGACACAGATGCCAGAGAGGACAGGGTGCCCCCACCCAATGTCCTCTGCCCCTTGCATGCCCACTGTGGGCAGTGGCAGCTCAAAACGATGACTCTCCCACCAGGACAGGCCCTGGAAGGTCAGCTTGTGCTTCCTCGGCCTCCGCAAAGGAATGCGATAGAATAACCCTGGATACTCTCTGCCTTGTTAATATCTCCATTCCACAGCTGAGGAGACTGAGGCCCAGTGAGGTTAAGCTCAGGAGGCCACAGGGCCAGGATGTGGCAGAGCCAGGATTTGAACCCAGGCCTTGCTGGCTCAAGACCCAATGCTCTGTGGCCTTAGACCTGTCTCTGGGCCCGTGGTGTGCCAGCTCACCTTGCAAGATCTCAAGATGATGATGCCTGAGTTTTTATAGTTCTTCTTCTTCCTCTGCTTCTTGGGGTTGATGCAGTCGAACTCCAGCTGGGCAACACAGGAAAAGAAAGAGACAGCTCAGGGCTTCTCTGGGGACAGATCCTGCCCACGGCCCTAGAATCCCTTCTACAATGGGGGCAGCATGCTTCCTCCAGGGAGCCTCCCGGGATGTCCACACCCAGTAATGGTAGCAGGATCAGCATCTGCCTCACTCCTCCCCAAATAACGCACCCCCACCCCCATCCTGTTCAGATGAGGGCCCAACATCACGAGATGACTTAAATGAACAGCTCCTGACTGCTCACTATGTGCTGGGCACTTCACCCTAATCAGCTCGTTTAATCTCCACCCAAATCCTCTGTCCCCATTGACAGATGAAGAAACTGAGTCTTAGACCGAATGTCTTGCTCAAGGTCATGCATGCAGCCAGAAAGGGGATCTGAGCCCCAGGCTGCCTGACCCAAGACCCTGCGTCCCTTCCCCCAGCCCTGCTAAAGCCTTGGGGTTACAGTACACATGCCCATCTCACCGGGACGCCGTCTCGAGCCTCACACATCTGTGACACTGAGGTCTGGAACTCGCCAATGAAGTCATGGCCCCCATCGTTGTCATAGTCATAGCACATGACCTGGGGTGGGTTCAGCATAGTCATCCCAGAGCTGTCCCCCAAGAGGTGCACTCCAGTCCCTCTCAACTCCCCAGGCAAACCCTCTGTCTTCTGCTTGGGTAGTGCCTCCCCTCGGCATCTGCCTAGCTGGCCTCAGTAGCTCCTGAACTGCCTCCTACAGGAAGCCTTCCATGATTGCTGGGAATAGGAGAGAGTATGTCTGCCCCAGTGATGGAGGCTGTAACCTCTAGTGCAGGAAATTCCACTCCTCACACACCTGGCAATTGGCTCCCCATCTGTCTCAAGTTGTGACTTACTCAGTTTATGGCCTGGGGCCCTCTCTAGGCATATTTTTTTCTGAGGTGGTCACAGAAATCACAGCTTTATATGCTGTCTAACTGAGCTGCCAGGACCCTCCTAGGAAGAAGGCAGGGATTATTGTTCCCATCCTACTGATGGGTAAACTGAAGCCCTGAAAGAGAAGCACCTACTCAAAGTCTCACAGCAGCAGTAGCAGACCCAGTACTAGAACCCAAGATTCCTGGTACCCTACTTGGGAATCACTGTCCTGACCTAGCTGTCTCCCCAACCTCATCTGCTCTCAGACCCAGCCCCTAGGGACTAAGAGCTTTTAAATTTTTCTTTATTTGATTATACTTTATAATTTTTTTTTTTTTTTTTTTTTTTTTTTTTTTTTTGAGACAGAGTCTTGCTTTGCTACCCAGGCTGGAGTGCAGTGGCTCAATCTGGGCTCACTACAACCTCTGCCTCCTGCATTCAAGTGATTCTCCTGCCTCAGGCTCCTGAGTAGCTGGGATTTCAGGCATGCGCCACCATGCTCAGCTAATTTTTGTATTTTTAGTAGAGATGGGGTTTTGCCATGTTGGCCAGACTGGTCTTGAACTCCTGACTTCCAGTGATCTGCCCACCTTAGCATTCCAAAGTGGTGGGATTACAGGCAGGAGACACTGTGCCTGGCCAGAAGACTGAGACCTTCTAGAGAGACAGGTAATCACTGTCCTCACCATGCCACATTTGATCGTTTCCAAGGTGTTTCCCTAGCTAGCAGCTCCATAGCCCTCTGGGAAGGGCCGGACAGTTTTAGAGAGGGGCTCAAAGGTGGGGGCCCTGCCCAGGTACTTCAGGATGTCAGATGGATCCAGGATGAAGACCAAGTCTCCAGTCCTCCCTCCTCCGAAGACGGGGCTCTTTCCATTTGTAGGAGAAAGAGCTTTCACAAGGCATCCTGGGAGCCTCAAGTGGACCGGGAGGCTGGAGCTGGCAAGGTGGGGAACAGGGTCCCCAAGGTCCCCTCACCTGGATGGGCTTCTCCATGTCCCCATCACACAGGGACACGAAGGGCACTGTGAACGGCTTCCACACGGGGTCCAGTGTGTACTTGATCACCTGCAGGACAGAGAGGGGACAGAGCTCAGGCCCTGGGCAGCAGTGCTCTGGGGTTGAGTCTGCCCAATGGAGAGAGGTGACAAAATGGAGACCCACAGCCATACTTCCAGAGATGGAAGCGCACATCCCTGTGGCCAGGAGGAAGCACATCCCTCTGGTGCCACTGTGGGTTTTCCTGCACACTGCACGGTTGTGACAGCACCACCCTTTCCAGAGCTATGGAGGGGCTGGACTGCAGGCCCACTGCTTAGAGACCCCTGGGCCCCCATGTACCCACCTCGGTCCTGTGGACCAGCATCCACTTGCCATCATCTCCTGGCTTATAAAACTCCAGAAAGGGGTCTGACTTCCCGAAGAGGTCCTGGGAGAGGAGGGAGGATGCAGGTTAGAGAGGCACAGCCCTGCCAGGTGCAGGCAGGATGGGGGTATGATCTTGCTGCCTCCCCAGCGGGTGTCAGTGTGGGATCTGTGGGCAGAGCCAGCCTGGTCCCCTCCCCTCAGGCTCTGCAAGGCTCAGCAAGAGCAGTTGAAGCCCCCTGGGACCAATCAGGTCCCCCAGCAGAAACCCCACCCTGAGGCTGTCAGAGCTTGTACTCAGAGACCCCCGAGACCTACAGCCTGTGTGAGTCAGAACTCCAGCATTTTAGACGGGCCAGGACTTCAACAGGGCAACTGTTCCCAAGGTAGGGTGAAGCTCCCAGCAGGGTGTGATTTAAATTTATTCTATTGGGAATGTGAAAACTGAAACTATCTTGCACATGACACAGGAATATCATGGCCTCTAAAAAATCATTTAAGCTTTAAAAACAGCCACGTTTTACATATGACTCTATCTAAATCTATTATCAATCTATTATCTACCTATATGTATCTATCATGTATCTATATCCATCATCTATTTGTTATCTATGTATCTATCATCTGTCTGGGGGGGGAGGTCTCACTTATTGCCCAGGCTGGTCTCAACAGGCCAGCCTGATCACTCCTGGCCTCAGGTGATCCTCCTGCTTCAGCTTCCCAAATAGCTGGGATTGCAGGTGTGAGACGCTGCACCTGGCAAGTATAGCTTTAAAGAGGTTATATTCAAGCGAGGGAGACAGAACATAAAGTAAGTAAAGAAAGTGCGCTAGACAGCAGTAAGTGTTAAGGAGACAAGCGGGAGCGGGTGGGAAATCGAAAACCAATTTCAGGGAAGCCCTCATTGAGGAGATATGGGAGCAAAGGCTTGACAGAGGTGAGAGGGTGCTATGAGAAGATTCAAGGAAGAGAGCCTCCCAGGCAGAGGGAACAGCAAATATGAAGCTCCTGAGAGAGCAGAGTGCCTCGTTTAATTCAGACAACAAGGGTCTTGATTTGTCTGAAACAGAGTGAAGTGAGGGGAGGAGGGGGGAGGTCGGGGAGTCAGGGCACTGGGAACACCACAGGTAGGGCCCCATTGGGTAAGGACCCTGGAATATACCTACACTAAGTGAGATGGGGATGCCCCAATGAGCAGGTTTCCAGCTGTACTTTGAATACCCCTAAGTAATGGGACACTGACTACTCAGAGGTGAAGGAGTCCTAATCGGGAGTGGCCAGGAGGGCCGTGTGCTAGGCCAGTCCCTGGAATGCGATGGAGGTGGTGGCCTGAGGCCCTGGGATGAGGCCACACAGCCCTGGGGCTGCTGGGGAGCTGCTGTTCCCAATGGGAGCCCCTCCTCTGCCCATCTCACCTTCTTGTCCAGCCTCCTGCCTGCCAGGCTCAGTGTGATGACGCGGTTGTCAGACAGCTCCTGGGCAGCAATCTGTAAGGCCGGGGGACATGAGGGGCTCCTCAGACAGGGCGCCCCAGGGCTAGGAGAGGGAAGGGAGGGGCAGTGCCAGGTGACCTTGGACAAGTCTCTTGTCTTCCCCACACCTCAGTTTCCATCTTCTAGAAAATGGGGGAATAACCCACGTGGAGATGAGGATTCAGGAAGTGAATCTATACAGCTCCACAGGGTCCATGGAGTGATGGGGGGGATGAAGCAGGGACCAGATTCTGTGCTGGTCTTGAGTCCTAGGGAGAGGTTCTGGGCCAGAAGGCAGCATGGCCAGCTTCCTCCTGCACCTGCTGCAGACGCAGAGTACAGCTTCCTCAGAACACCAAGGTGTTAACATTACAGCCACTCATTGTGCAGCTAGAGAAACTGAGGCCTGGGGAGAAACTGAGTCCCATCAGTTCACACTGGTCATGGGTCCTCCATGCATTCCCCATCAGCTGTTGTCCTCTGACCCCAACCCAGCCAGTGATGGCCTAGCTGGGTGACTTCGAAACCACTGAGGTCCCTAGAGGCCTCTCTCCCTCCCTGCTGCCGACAGCAACACAAGTGGGCTGGGGCCTCCTCCTCTCATGCCTCTAGGATGGCCTCATGCAATGCAAGGCATCTGGCCCTCTGGACCCACTGACAGAGGCCAGCCGGGCTGCCAGTTCTCCCCTGCTGTCCTCCCGCTGGAACTTGCTCAACAACCCTATAGGATAGGTCCTATTATCACCATTTCCCAGGGGAGGAGACAGAGGCCTAGAATGGAACTGCCAGAAATGCTGGGGGTGATGGCATACCCAGCTGGGTGGTGGTCTGCCTGGGATGGCTTCTAGGTGGAAGGGAGCTGCCTTGTAAAGGCATTCATTCACTCCTTCATTCCTTCATTCATTCATTTAGAGATGGAGTCTCCCTCTCTCGCACAGGCTGTAGGACAGCAGCATGATCAACCCACTGCAGCCTCAAACTCCTGGCCTTAAGGGATCCTCCCACCTCAGTCTTCTGAGGAGTTGTACTACAGCTGCAAGCCACGCACCCGGCCTCTGAAGGCATTTAGATGGGGCAGTTAGAGCACCAAGAGATGGGAGGAGGTTGTTTGGGAGGTAGCGTTCCATGGGGCAGGAACAGAGTGAATAAGAGACTGGGGTATGTTCAGGATATGCTAAGAATTCGGTTTGCAGGGCATTTAAATGAAGGAGATTAAAAACCACCAAGGCAGGAGAGCCAAGCAGGGTCTGAGGGGTCCCTCGGAGCCTTGAATGAAGGGTTGCACAGGCAGTGGGGAGCCATGTGAAGTTACAGGACAGGGGAGTAATGCATGGGAACACACAAAGGCATGGCTTCTCCCTCCAGCCTGGCTGGCTCCCCAGGCATCACACAGGCTCAGAAGCCAGCCAGACAACCCAGGGGACGATCTCACTAGCTCAGCTGCCCAAGGGAACTTTCTATTTTGGCCTCAGGGGTGCTCCTGGCTTCTGGGAGTCTGTGAGGACCAAGGAGCTCCTCCCTGCGAAGGGCCTGCATCGCAGGAGGAATGGCTGCGCATCACAGGAATCATTGTGCATTGCAGGAATCATTGCACGTCACACCACAAGCAGGGCACTGATGGGCAAAGCACTTCTGAACGACCCCCAGGGGAGGGCAGGCAGGGGCCGGTGCAGGGAACGGGCTGCTGGCAGGGCTCTGAAGGCCTCACCAGCTTGTCAGCACCCAGTGCATCATTTGTAGAGCCGGGAGCCGGTTGCTAAGAGACCTGTTGCTAAGTTGTAAGTTGGGCCATTTTACTCCAAACAAAGCTGGTGATTATCTGCCAGGGAAGTGGCCCATTGATGGGGGAGGGTGCAGGATGGGGGTGGAGGGGATGTGGGGAGCCGGGAGGGGACTGGTACCGTAATCAAGCCCTTCCCAGCAGGCTTGTCATTCAGCAGCAGCAGAGGCCTAGTGATCTTCTTGCTGGAGACGATCTGGGGACGAGAGGGGAAAGGGTGATCAGTGAGGAAGTGGGGAAGCCCTGGGAGGAAAAATCCTCCACAGGTGCTGCTCAGTAGGGCTGCCTCCTGCCTGGGCTAGCTGGTGACCAGCCTGAGAGTCACTGCCACCCTGGCAGGTGGACAGCAGCCAATCTGAGCAGTAAGAAACCTGTCAGGTCTCCCAGAGGGCAGGGAATCCCAGAAGTCGGACTCTCACTGCCTGGTTTGCCCCTAGGAAAAGGCATTTTGGAGACAACTGTGGGAGATTAGCCCCCAGCTCCCTTCCAGAGTCATTCCACAGACCCCACTGCCTCAGGGTATGCTCTCTGGTGGACTCTATGTATTTTCATTTATTTTTCTTTTGAGACAGGTCTCCATCACAGCTCACTGCAGCCTCAATCCCCTGGGCTCAAGCAATCCTCCTATCTCAGCCTCCTGGCTAGCTGAGACTATAGGCATGTGCTACCACGCCTGGCTACCTTTTTTTCTGTAGAGACAAGGGCTCATTATGTTGCCAAGGCTGGTCTCAAACTCCGGGCTCAAGCCTCCCAAAGTGCTGGGATTACAGGCATAAGCTATAGAGCCCAGCCAATTCTATGTATTTTTATTGGCTTGAATAGGTAATACATTCATACAGCATTCAATAATCCAAACAACATAGACAGGCACATTGAAATGTCTCTCTCCTGTGTCTGCCCAGGGCACTCAGGGGTGGCACAGTTCTTGTTTTCTGGGTGAAGTGCAAGCCTGTCCTATGCAGCAGAGGACACACACCAGTCTCATCCAGTCCTGCTTCTGCAGGGCTGGTTCTTCTCCCCAGATCCATGCCCTGCCCTACTCCACCTGCTCTGTGCCCTGGAGACTGTGCCACCCAGCTCCTTTGTCCTCTGGCTTTCAGAGGTTCGGCCAGTGGGGGGACAGCAGAGACGGGAGAGCAGGAGGAGTAAGAGGTGGGGCCCCAATTTGATGGGAACTTCTTCATTACTCTGCCTTCTGCCTCAGTTGCAGTCCAGAGGCCTCCCTCCATTGGCCACAGGTCTCACCAGGCCCTGGCAATGCCACTTCCTCACCCTGCCTTCCTTCCAGGCAAAGGTGGTCAGCTTCCCTCTGAGGCCAAGCCCTGGGTTGGTTTCCCCATCCCTTGTCAGTTTCCTGCCCTGTCCACAAGCACTTAAGCTCTCTTCTCAGTTACACCACAGGGTAGGGACCCTAACTACTGTACCCTACTTCTTATGCACAAAGTAGACGTCATGACCATGGCAGACCCTAGCTTTTTGCATGGTCACCATCTCCTGGAAGGCCCAGGGCATTTCAGTCTCTACTAGGACCCTTGAAAGCACTTTCCATTTCATTCCCTCATTAACCCTGTAGGCTGAGCAGAGTAGTCATTATAATCACCAAGGAAAATGTGGGGAAACTGAGGCCCAGAGAGGGGTGGGAGCTTGGGGAGCTTGCCTAAAGGCATGCAGCCATAAGGAATGATTGAGACTTGCGTTAGGGGCGCCTAGCCCTGCTCGCTCCCTGCCTCCAGGAGCTTACTAAGGACTGAGATGGATGGGGAAGTGTGGCCCAGAGAGGGAAAGGAAGTTGCTCAAGGTCACACAGTGAGTCTGCCACAAAGTGGGACTACTGTGGGCATCTTTGTTGCTGGTCAGATGTCCCTACCCCAGGAGGTCAAGACCACACCTGATTACCTCCAACAATCAGAATCTCTGGCCACCAGGGCCTGGGATCCTGTGATCCGGGGGCAACCTGGATCTGCACACCTGCAACCTCCGCCTCCCAGGTTCTAGCGGTTCTCCGGCCTCTAGTGGTTCTCCAGAGTGGCTGGGATTACAGGCAATCTGTTTGACTACTTCTTCAGATGGCTGCTCTTCAGCCCACCCTCGAACCTGCCAAGGCTATTGCCCCCACTCTGCATCTGCACTTTGGGAGCCACCCAGGAAGATGGGGCTAGGGACAGACAGTGCAGGAGGTGACTTTCCGAGGGGCTGCCTTGTCTTTGGGCACTGCTCCCACCCCCCAGGAAGGCCCCACTCACCGCGCCCAGGCTGCAGGAGAACTGGCCCAGGAAGTCATGCTCGTCTAGCTGCATACTGGATTTATCCTGGTCGAAGAGCGCGAACTTGAGCTTCTGTACCTCCTCAAAGTGGTAGTCGAGCACGAACTTCTTGGAGAAGGCGGGATTGAGATTGTTGATCGCAGTTTCTGTCCTGTCATACTAGCAGAGGGGCAGGGAAATGGAAGTTGGAGTCAAGGCAGCTGGTCCAAGCCCTCGCAGGCTGCTGGAAATCATTCTGCTAACTCTGCCTGCTCTGTGCCAGGCTCTCAGGGTTGTGGTCAGTGACTCAGTACTCCCAGCTCACAGACAAGGGTGCTGAAGCACAGAGAGGTGAAGTGACTTCCCCAAGGTGGGACGGCTCGTGGAGCAGGGCCGAGACTCGAAACCAAGGTCTGACTCTCCTACCCACACTCTTAATTCTTTGGCCCTGGATCCATACCCAGGTGCCAGGGTAAGAGCTCGGGCCCTGTCCCTGCCTGGGTAAGAGATGGAGGACAAGTCCTTTTCCCCATCTGAGCCTCAGTTTCCACCTCTTTAAAGGGAACGGATTTGACTACCTGTGGTTTTCAATTTTTATTTTGGAAAAACCCCTTTTCCAAACCATGTTTTACATGGAAACTGACAGAGGAAATAGAAAGAAGGATTTTTGGGGGGAGGCGGGGTCAGGGGATCCGCATGGAAGAGATTCCCCCAGGATTCTTGTATAGAATCCTCACACTGTGCAGCCCAACACCCCCACCTACTATGGATACCAAAGCCTGGCTGAGGACAGGGCCTTGTACTGTGGGTCAGCAGTGGCACTGGGACAGGAAACCCGCCTCCTGGCCTCTGGATGCTGAGGCCCCAAACCGCGTAGTCTGGGTGACAGTCTATTTTGGGGGCCAGGCTGCGTTGACTTTTCCTCCCACCCAGTCCATTTCCAAGGGCTGGAGCAGCAGGGACGGAAGAGGTCTTGGCCCTGGGCTATTTTTAGCCAGAGTGGCTGGCCTGGGCAGGGGCAGAGGGAGGGTGGGGGGTGTGCCATGAGTCAGGGGGATGCCACTTCCTGAGGGGCACTCAGGGGTTCTAGAGACCTGGCAGAGGGGAACTGTGCCCCAGACATGCCTGTCACAGGCCTGGGGCTCCCCCAGGAGTCCTCGGCTGGCCCCATGTCCCACCGCCCACTTCCAGTTGTACCATTAACACACTGGGTGACACAATAAAGTCCCTACCTGCTCTGGGTCCCTCTTTCCCTCTCTGTAAAGTGGGTCAACAATCCCAAACTGCTTTCTTGGCATCACAAGAAGGAGCCAACATCCGTGGGAACTCTTTGTAAACCACAGTATGTTCAGGAGGACTCCCGCCGTGGCCTACTTAAATATCCATTAGAAAGTACACACATATTTTGGGAAATATACGTGCAGATAAAGCCATGTGGAAGGCTGGATACCAAACTGCTAACAGTGGTTCTCTGTGATAGGTGGGTTCCCAACCATTCGGATTTTCTCCTTTAGGTTTATCTGGATTCTCTGCAGTCACTCCACTAGTTTCCCTTTGTACAAGCAAAGCAAGGTTTCAAACCTGAAGGTATTAACAGCTTAGGTTTCTCAACATCCTTCCTCAAGGGCTGCAACTCTTTGCAACCCTCAAGCCAGTCTTCCAGCTCAGAAGTCCTTGCCTGGGGCACCAGGTATATCCCCAGATCTGGGGCCTTCCAAGGGAGTCAGCAGGAAAAAAAATATATAATTTCACAGATGAGGAGACAGGTCCAGAAACGGATAGCCACTTGCTTAAGGCCACACAGCAGGGAGTAGGATCACCGGGCCATGGACCGGCTCCTAAAGCCTGAGCTCCCTGTTTCTCTGTTTCTTACTGGCCGTGTGTTCATTTAGAAATAACAGGGAAAAGTTATTTAAAAGTAGAAGCAAGCAATTTATAAAACTGTAAAGTTTTAACTATCTATAACAATTTTAAATAAAACAAGGCCGGGTGTGGTGGCTCACGCCTGTAATCCCAGCACTTTGGGAGGCTGAGGTGGGTGGATTGCTTGAGGTCAGGAGTTCAAGACCAGCCTGGCCAACATGATGAAACCCCATGTTGCTACTAAAAATACAAAAATTAGCTGGGCGTGGTGGTGCACACCTGTAGTCCCAGCTACTCAGAAGGCTGAGGCAGGAGAATCACTTGAGCCTGGGAGGCAGAGGTTGCAGTGAGCCGAGATCTCACTATTGCATTCCAGCCTGGGGGACACAGAGAGACTCCATCTCAATAAACAAAATCAAATAATCAATATAAATTATATAATTATAAATATAAATCTATGTATTTTAATTGTAATAATTTAAACACAAAGTAACATTTAAGAGTAACAATTTACCAAGTAATTCCCTGCCACCAGCCCACACTCCAACTGCTGTGACAGTCCTTGGATCCCAGTCCCGGGAGACTCCCTCTCCCCAGCAGCCTAGCTGCCCTGCCCCTTACCCACCGCAGAGACACGGAAGAGCCTCACCTCGATCCATCTGCCATTGTTCTCTGTAAAGAGGACACAGAAGGGGTCGGACTTGGAGGTAACATCCCGGTCCAGTAGGTTCTGGCCACTCACTGACAGCTCCACCTTGCACACGCAATACTGGGGGCCCGTGGGGGCTGCCCCCGCTGCTGGGGCACCCCCACTGGGTATGTAGGCCATGGGAGCCTGTGGCGGCTGCAGGAGTTCCTGGCAGTCTAGGGGAACAGGGAGTGAGGGTCAGAGAGTGGACAGATACCTGCTATGCTGCCCCGCCATAGGGAGGCCCCACCTGGCCTTTAAGAGGTAAGTGGAGAGATGAAAGGTGAGGTGAGGTGGGGGGAGTAGGTGGTCAAATAACAGGGGCAAAGCCTTGGAGAAAGAAGAATGCAAGGAAATGCATGAAAAGGGGTCTCAGCTGAGCACAGGGGCTCGCACCTATAACATCAGCACTTGGGGAGGTCAAGTGCCTGGAAGCCTGGAGTTCAAGACCAGTCTGGCAACAAGGAGGATCCTGTCTCTACAAAAAAATTTTAAAAATCAGCCAGGCCATCGGCTGGGCGTGATGGCTCACGCCTGTAATGTCAGCACTTTGAGAGGCCGACGGGGGATCATAAGGTCAAAAATTCAAGACCAGCCTGGCCAAGATGGTGAAACCCCATCTCTACTAAAAATACAAAAATTAGCCAGGCCCAGTGGCAGGTCCTGTAATTGCAGCCATTCATGAGGCTGAGGCAGGAGAATCGCTTGAACCTGTGGGGATGGAGATTGCAGTGAGCTGACATCACACCATTGTACTCCAGCCTGGGCAACAGAGTGAGACTCCGTCTCAAAAAAAAAAAAAATTAGCCAGGCGTGGTGGTACATGCCTGTGGCCCCAGCTACCTGAGAGGCTGAGGCAAGAGGATTGCTTGAGGACAGGAGTTTAAGGTTGCAGTGAGCTGTGATTGCACGTCACTGCACTCCAGCCTGGGTGACAGAGTGAGATCATCTCAGAAAAAAAAAAAGGAAGAAAAAAAGAAAAGTAAAAGGAATAAAGAAAAGAAGAAAAGAAAAAGGAGTCTCTGTGCCTGGCAGGTGTGTTTAATTTGTCTGAGGTTTTTCTCTGCTGTGGTCAGTTTCACCCGGAAGGATGCACAACTCCTGTGTTTCCCCTGCTGCGTGAGCAACAAATCACAGCGGACATGGGCGTCTCAGACACTCTTTACACCAGGAAAACCTGGGCTTCTCCTGAGCAACTGACATGTTGGCATCACGTGGCCTCAGTGGAGCTAATAACTGCTCAGCCTTCCCTCATTCCTTTGGCCACTAGGAAGCTCACTTCTGGTAACATCAGAGGCCTTTGAAGCAGAGCAACTCCATCTTAAACAGGAGCTGGGTAAAACAAGGCTGAAACCTACTGGGCTGCATTCCTAGATGGTTAGGCATTCTGAGTCACAGGATGAGTTACGAGGTCATAAAGACCTTGCTGATAAAACAGATTGCAATAAAGAAGCCAGCTAAAACCCACCAAAACCAAGATGGCCACAAGTGTGACCTCTGGTCGTTCTCACTGCTACACTTCCGCCAGCACCATAATAGCTTGCAAATGCCAATGCAACATCCGGAAGTTACCCTATATGGTCTAAAACAGGAGAGGCATGAATAGTCTGCCCCTTGTTTAGCATATAATCAGGAAAATAACTATAAACATGGCAACCAGCAGTCCTTGGGGCTGCTCTGTCTATGGAGTAGCCATTCTTTCATTCATTCATTCATTCATTCATTCATTCATTCATTTTTGAGACAGAATCTGGCTCTGTCCCCCAGGCTGGAGTGCAGTGGCACGATCTTGGCAACTGCAACCTCTGCCTTCTGGGTTCAAGTCATTCTTCTGCCTCACCCTCCCCAGTAGGTGGGACTACAGGCATGCACCACCGTACCCGGCTAATTTTTGTATTTTTAGTAGCAACATGGGGTTTTACCATGTTGGCCAGGCTGGTCTCGAATTCCTGACCTTGTGATCTGCCAACCTCGGCCTCCTAAAGTGCTGGGATTACAGGTGTGAGCCACCATGAGGGGCAGTGTTTGTATTTTTAGTAGAGATGAGGTTTCACCACTTTGACCAGTCTGGTCTCGAACTCCAGACATCAGGTGATCCGCCCACCTCTGCCTCCCAAAGTGTTGGGATCACAGGCATCAGACACCACATCCGGCTATTCCTTTACTTTCTTAATAAATTTGCTTTTACTTTATGGACTCACCCTGAATTCTTTCTTGCATGAGATCCAAGAACCCTCTCTTGGGGTCTGGATCGGGACCCCTGTCCTGCAACAGTAACATTAAAAATTCACCCTTGTTCATCGTCTATCATGTTCACCCTGTATCTCTGGCCCACACACAATGACTGGTACACAGGATGCATCCAGTATATGTTTGCTGAATGATAAAAGGATGAGTGTGTAAATGAACAAATGGACAAACCCTCCACATTCCTCAGATCCTGTCTGCATTGGTCGTTATCTTCAACATACAATTTACCCTTTCACTCATACACAGTCTCCCAAAATACCGTGCCCTGGGCCTCATGTATCCTCCTCCTGTCAAGGCTAACTGACATGTGATCACTTGAAGGAGTTCTGTTTTCCTTTGAGTGCAAGGCATTAGTGAGAGGGGAGCAACCCATCCCAAGGGGTGGAGGGGGACCTAGATCACAACCATCACAGGCCTAGCACACAAGTCCTCTGGCTCTCTCTGCCTCAGTTTCCCATCCGCCCAGGTTTAGAACACAGTCTCCTATGGTCAGGTCTCATTTCCACTGGCATGTGTGCATTTAACACTGGCCCTGTCATCCCAGTAGATGAACCTGGCCCCTAAACACTTACTTGACAACTCCCTAATACTGTGTCCTCTTGAGGGTGAGGGGTTTACTGACCCTGCACTTCTCCAATGAAGGGAGGTCAGTGGAGGTGGTGGGTGAGCTCCTTCCGGGAACACAAATCCAAGTTACCGTGCTTGTGAGCACCAACTGAGCATATCACCTGCACAATGTCTCTAATCTTCATTCAGTCTTACGAGGCAAGTATAGTAATATCACCCTGATTTTCCAGAGGGGGAAACTGAGGTTCTTTCACTCACTCTAGACGGGGTACTGAGCATCTACTAGGTCCCAAGAACGGTGCCAGTGCTGGGGATGCTGCAGTAAGAAGACTGCTCTTGGCTGGGTGTGGTAGCTCAGGCCTGTAATCCCAGCAATTTGGGAGGCTGAGGTGGGTGGATCACCTGAGGTTGGGAGTTCGAGACCAGCCTGGCCAACATGGTGAAACCCCATCTCTACTAAAAGTATAAAAATCAGGCAGCATGGTGGCACACACCGGTAGTCCCAGCTACTTGGGAGGCTCAGGCAGGAGAATTGCTTGAACCCTGGAGGTGGAGGTTGCTGTGACTCGAGATCACATCACTGCACTCCAGACTGGCCAACAGAGCGAGACACTGTCTCAAAAAAAGAAAAAAAAAGAAGACTGCTCTGTCTTAGCCCCCAAAGAGCTCACAGTTCAGTTAGGCAGCAATACAGTGGAGAACAGGGAGAGTGCAGGACCTGCGGGAGCTGTGAGCCCTGAGAGGGCATCTGAGTTTCATTCGGAGAGCGATGGGAAGTCTTGGAAGCAGAGAACTGACATGATCTGATTTGTGTTTTTAAAAGCTTACCCGGCCCCTTGTGGGGAGAAGGGGTTGTCAAGCTAAGGAAAGGTAGCGGAGAGACCAGCAAGGAGGCAGCTGCCTCCAGGCAGGAAGGACCAATTCACCGTCACTAGGTGGGTCCACTCCTCCTCCCTTTCACCCAGGCCACAGCGCACTCCGGATCACCAGCCTCTTGCCAGGCAGATGCAGTCCCCTGTAAGCCCCGGTCTGCAGGAGGCCAGGGTAGAGTGGGGCTGGAAGCAGAGACCTCCCAGCTTCCCCTCCAGATGTAGAGCTCCCCAGACATGCCTCACAGGGGAAAAATTTGGACAATGATGAAGCTGGTCCTCAGCCCCTCCCTCCCAGCCTTTGTCCCTAGAACCTTGTTATAATCACACGAGCTCAGAGTGTCAAGACCGCACTACAATTTGCCTGCAGGATTTATTCCCGTCGTGTAAAAATCAGTTTCCACTGGAGGAGCCGGTCGGTGAACTGTGTTCACTCTTTCTGTGTGCAGCTGGACAGCTATGCAAAGTGGAGGTGGGGTGGGGAAGGGGGCAGACAGGGATGTCCAAAACCTTGCTGTGTGGCTGAGAGCGCCTGCCCATGCCTGTACCTGCCTGAGGCAGGACAATCACCCCCATTTTAGAGATGAGGAAACTGAGGCCCAGAGGGTAAAAGTCACTTGCTTGAGGTTTAGGGCCAGGAAAAGGCAGAGACAGTGTGTGAATCAGGTCTGCAGACTCCCAGGCCAATACTTGGCCTTTTGCCAGGGTTAGGAGATTTCTGGACATGTGGGACTTAGGCAGGGATAGCTAGGACATCGGCCAGGCCAGGGGATCCTGAGGCTAAGAGGGCAGGTTGTGATAGGGCTGGGGAAGCCAAGGGTATTCCCCCATTTGAACACACACCCAGGGTGGGCCCCAGAGTATCCAAGGTCACCAGTTCCTCTGGGTCACCCTGTCCACACCCCTGCATCTCCCAGCATTGCTGGTGAGGTGGATTCTAGCACACTTACCCTCTTCCCACTTCACAGGCTCCCTCTGTGACATATTAGATGCCACCTGGGCTGCCATCCCCTGCTGCCCAATCAGACACTTCTGTTCTCATCCTGAGGGTGTCAGGCACACACGCCCAGATTCACGTGCTTCCTTGTCCACTTACACACATGTGCGGTCACATATACAAACATGTACACACATGCACCCAGACTGACAAACACAATGACAGATGCTCACATGAACACTCTGGAGTCACCCCCTTCTGTCCACATCACTACCCTGCCCCCCATCCCCCTGCCTCGTCCAAGCCCCATTATCTTGCCTTGGTTACTCTGCCAGCCTCCTACCCTTGCCTCCCTCCAGCCTAACTGACAGGGTGGGCAGGAGGGACAGGTCACGGGCTGGGAGGGCTGGGCCAGGAGCCCCTAGCTCTCTGCAACTCCACCTGGATCAGCTCAGGTCCCCCGCTAGAGCGAGCGATGGGTGGGTGGGGAGGGAACTCCTTCCCCAGTCAGGAGCAGGTCCTCCATCTCCAACTCACCCTCTGGCTGGAAGCT